CAAATGTTTCTGAGAAATTTCAGATTTAAGGGGTGCCCCTTGCATTTTTAGCAAAATTGGACAAAATCAGATTTGTATGAAAAATCTCAAATTGTAAGGGGTTAACCTTGCCAAATTAGGGGAAAATCAGATGTTTCTGAAAAAAGTCAAATTGTAAGTGGTCAATCTTGCATATTTTAGCAAAATTGGGCAAAATCAGATGCTTCTGAAAAAAATTCAGATGTAAGGGATTAACCTTGCTTTTTAAGTTAAATTTGGCAAAATTAGACATTAATGAAAAATTTCCAATTGTAAGGGGTTAACCTTGCATTTTTAGCAAAATTGGGCAAAATGCGATGTTTATGAAAAGTTTCAAATTGTAGGGATGAACCTTGCATATTTTAGCGAGATTGGGCAAAATCAAATGTTTCTGAAAAATTTCAGATGTAAGGGGTTAACCTTGCTTTTGGAATTAAATTGGGCAAAATTTGCTGTTTAGGCAAAAAAAAAAAAATTGTCGGTCTCTGGTCAGCGCGCGCGTCGATTTTAATCATGCGCGTCAACCTTTTTTTTTCTTCAAATTGTCCGCAGCGCCCTCTATTGCCGTACCTCCTCAAATTTTTGTACCAAGGAATGGGGAAATGCACCAAGGCAAATGATTGAGGGCAACAAGGCAAATTATGAAGGACCCTAATGTATATGAGGACACAACAAAAGCAAAATAGTACCAACCTTGTCTGTTTTCTTGCGTCCCCCCCCCCCCATTTTGGGAATTACTATATTTGTTGGGAATGTACACTATTAAAGAAACGTTATTTGAAAGATGCAAATAATGTTTATGTTACAATGTACATCTTTATTTTTTCCCCGGTATAATATGGCGTTTCGTACGTCAATTGGAAATTGCGCCATTAATAATGGTAGTTATATTGATCGAACGAAACTCCGTTTTAATCATAGTCAATTATGATTCAATGATTCATGACATGGACCTCTGTTTCGTTTTCAAAAAAAAACGTACATCTGCCGGACAGATGTAAATATCAAACTAAACCAAAGAATAAAAGATAGAGGATTAAAAAAAATCAAAAAGTTATGTGCTAGTCAAGCTTTCAGGGATCTGTCTGAGCCATAACAATGCCCCAGCCAATCCCTTAGTTCTCTTCCGGGGTCTCGGCGTCCCCGACCAATACACACTTCCTTCCCTGTCCATCCATATAACCCCGGAGGGCCAGGCACCATGTAAAAGCAAAGAGCTAAGGGAGGAACAGGGCGGCCCCTAAACCTTGATCCTCCGAGTGGACCAAATGCCCTGAACCTGTACGAAGGCGCCAACCTGGAACTCGCGGACAGTACCAGCAGCAGTGCTTACCGATTAAGCTAAGGTACTGTTGGTATTTTACGCCGGGAAATGAAACATCTTATAATGATTCAATATAATACATGCCTTGAAAAGCAAAAAGACACCGACGGGATTCGAACCCGTGCATCGCGATGCGTGGACGACGAATCTAACCACTCGGCCATCAGGCTTCCTTAGAATTCTCCTAAAAACAATTTGTCTTAATAATAGGTGGAGAAACGTGGAACATTGCGTGCAGCTGTTTTGGCTCCATGGACGAGCAGAAGTCGATATTTCGGGGCAATAATGAGTCAACTGTTTTCGTTTGTTTGTATAGGCTAGCCTCGTTAAAAGTCGTGAGTTTATACCTGTGCTTGCGTAACATATATATCGTTACGCAATAATCACCACTATCATTACGTAGGCTTTTTGAAACATGCATCAAGTGCGTTCAGGGGCGGATCTAGGAATTGTTAGGGGGGGGGGGCAGGCCCGTCAGATGTTTATAGCCGATCGTCATTTTTATGATAGATCTACATTTTTTTTGTGTTTCAGGAGCGGGGGGGGGGGGGGGGGGGGGGAAGTTTGCATCCCCTCTGGATCATCGCCTGACTTCTACTCTTTGTATTTGGGAAGATACAGATTCTCAACTCCGTCACTCCTATTTCAATATTATACGGACGTCCTTAAAAAAAGGAAACGATAATTTGCTTTTACGGATTTGTTTGTTATCAGTGTAAATAAGACCTCTATTCCTTTCGCTGTTCCCAACAGTCCTTCATCAGCCGGTAATCAAACATTATTTTCCTCAAATATAACGGGAACGGTACGTTCTCATCCTGAATTCTAAAAAAAACCTTTTTGTATCATATGAAAACAACATTAAATCAGGACACCACATTACAGTAGGGGCGCTGTTCATAATGTGCATCTTCATGTTATGTATGATAACGCCTCGCTCGTAACCCCCGCTCTGTAAACAGGGCCTAGAGAGCTAGCGCATGGACCGGGAAGGGCTGATGGGTGCGATCCTGCATTACAATTCCCATAGACACTAGTGCTAAATGCCCATACTTCAAAATTCTTTTAAAAATACTCTCACCGTAGGTATTTAAGCTGCACAGAAAAATGATGATCAACATGTCATCTGTCATTTTCTTTTCATTTTTTGGTGGATTGACCATTGACTTTTCGAGAAATTCTCACCCAAAGAAGACGACCCCTATTTTCCCCAAAGCGGAGAGGTAGCCATTATGAAAAACAATCCCTCCAAGGCAAAATAGCGCCACCTTCGAGCCCAATTGCATCCAAAGTGCTCAGAATTGGACGCCCCAAGTCCGGGCTAGAGGTTCATTGCAATATCTCTTCAATTCCCCAATTTTATGGCTCTCAGAACTCTCTCATATAGAATATTAGTGACGGTGTAACTTTTATTCATGAGCTCGGCGGATGAATTGAGGCCGATTTACCGGTGTGCACCCCAATGAGCTTTACGGAATCTTAATTATTATTTGACGTGGATCGGGGGGGGGGTCCCCCCAAAAAAATTTGGGTTCGACCCCCCCCCCCCCGAAAAAAACTCTGGATTCGCGCCTGCATGTCAGCGACAGTAATTTAAAAAGCAAGTCTATAAAGCCCCGTGTAATGGCATTTTTGAATTCAATCCTTAATGTAGGCTACATTGTTGAATTTTGTATTTCCAGTTTTAATGGTGAAGGGCTTCGCTTTCTCCAGGGTTCGACCTTAACTTTATTGTTCACTAGCCAGCCGGGCCGGCTACTGAAACAGACTCTTAACAAGCCCACGGCCATTTTCACTAGCCCACTTTTTTTTTAGCTTAAATAAAAAATGGCGTATTTTCAGGCTCAATTCTGAGGCATTTTTGTCAGTGTTTTTAATAATCAGATCTAAAAATTTATCTTTTAAAACAGTTGGTAAAATTAGACACAAATTGTTGATGTTTTCTTTCTAAATGTAATGATTTAATTCTCTCTGTCCGCTCATCTTTGCTGTATCCCAATAATCATTGACTCGCCAGCCGGGCTACTTAAAGGGAAAATACACCATTTGCAAACATCAAAAAATAAAACTACCGAATCATTTTGAAATACCTTGCTGGACTGTTAGTGAATGACAGTGTAAAGCATCCTGTAAAATCATGGCACCTGGTATACTGTCATTTTCAAGAAAAGTGGTATTTTTTGTATCAATTTCCAACGCTGATCGGCCGACCAGCGTCGGAAAAAACTGGCTTTTTTCCCCAAAAACTGGCCCCAGTTGACCATTGCAGTCTTGTTTGCAATCGATTACACACCTATGAACGGGTACAAGCCAGCTAGACTGGTTCCCTGACCTTACAATTCCCCAACGTATGTAAACTGCTCTGTTTCTTCTTAAATGGAGTCAGGGAACCAGACTACAGGAAAATGACTGCTTTTCTTGGTTTTTACAGCATTTTCGAACCCAAAACCTCAAAAAGTCAGAGTAACTATATTTGCTATATATTTCCAACCCCCCAATTCCATCCATTTCTGAAAATTACAGCAAAAGCAAATGATGTATATTCCCTTTAAGGAATAATTTGACTAGCCCGCCGCTGTAAGTTGACTAGCATCTGGCTAGCGGGCTACCGCTAATTTCGAACCCTGAAAGTTTTCTTTCATTTTTCCTATTTTGCGAATTACTATATTTGTACGGTTTGGCATGTTAACAATTTAAGAAACGTTATTCGAAAGATGTAATATTTTTAGTCATATTGATCGAACGAAACTTAATTTTGAATATAGATATTTTGACTTTTTTGAAAGGACAAATCAGCGACGGCTCTAATATCTTTCCCATTATATGCTCTGACTGCTTGCCAAATTTCGTGCTTTTATCATTAATGAACAATTCCAATTATTCCATCATAATTATTGTGCGCCAATCTGCTTGACTAGTACTATACCATTTGGGAAAAGAAATAATTAAACGTGGTTTAAGAAAGTGTCACTGTACCCACGGACACGTGCGTTAGCAACGGATGAAAGGCCATGGGCGTCACCAGGATATTTTCTAGGGGGGGGGGCAAAACACATCCCTCCAAATTCCTGTACTTTTCCAGCATATTGTCGATTTATCATTTTTCGAGTGTGGGCAGGGACATTTGCCCCCCCCCCCCCACCCATTAAACAAACAGCAATATGACTTCGCGCCTCTTTTTTCTTTCTTTCTTTTTTCCCCCTAGGCCCCCTCTCGCGACGCCCATGGATGAGGCCCCTCCCCCTCTTTTTCCCTTAAAAATGTATAGCATTCACTTATAAGCCCAAACTTCGACAAGTTGGTTGTTACGCACTTTGAACAATTGTTGCTCGAAACGAAATCAAATGCACAAAAAGCAAATGATTATCCTATTGTGGTATTTTCCCGTATTTTAGGAAATATGCCTATAGCGGGAGTGTTTTTCCTTCTGTTTTGCATTTGTTTGTGTTGGGTTGTTTAGTGCACATACCCGAAGATGAAGAGAAGCCATTACATTTGAAAACATTTTTTTTTTAATTGATGGCATTCAGGGGCCACCTTAACAAAAAAAATGTAGTTGGGTTCCTTTTCCAGATTGGGCAACCTTTGTTTTGCACCGACAAGATTAGTATCTAGACGTCTGTTCAAGATTAACGGCTAATAAATTGTACATGAAATGGAAATGAAGGTGTAGAGTACCCGACTGGCCATGCAGAAATACATGTTGTAGCCTTGGCTCCCGGTTGGTAACAAAAACGCTGCAAATTGTATGCGGATATTTGGCAGTTTCTTGACGAAAATTTGGAATTTAGTCATGGCTGAAGGTAAGTCACTCTACTATTAGTATTATCGAAGCAATTATACTATCGCAGCATAGGAAATTTGGAAAGATTCCCATTTCCCTTTAGTCATGTTAGTTGATCAACACTGTACACCATTCACTTTACCGTCATGACCGTGTACCGTCTACGGTGTAGTGACTAGTTACTAGTGTACATGTACATATGTAAAGTGAATGGTGCCCCAATCCCCAATCAGTAGACTTGTCACAGTGATTTTTGTTCTCCTTTCGGGGTAGGGCAGGGTCTTAAGAAATCATCCTGTAGGCATATAATCTACAATCAACTTGAACGTTAAACATGTTAAAATTAAAGGGAAATATTGGAGTAATTGCAGAATACCCCGCCACTCGGAAATACATCCCTAAAATCACTGGCTACACCTTACGAGGTTGGAATCACTGGAAAAGAAACTATTTAAGTCCATTGCCAGCTACGCGGGTGAGTGGGGGTCCATTATTTGAGAACGAAGCAACACAAAAGGAATGGGAGTTGCTGAAAAAAATTCGAAGTCCAAACCAACTACCCTGTTGGCGGCTTCGCGGTTACGGAGTGGGAGTGCAATGGAGCATGACGCATACCGGTAGTACATACAAGTAGCACTGAGAAGGTTTATTGAGGTCAACCAACCGTGACCTCGTAGCCGGCTACGAGGTGGATAGATTGAGTGGCGGTGTATTCTGCAATTGTGCCGAAACATTATCAGACTTTATTCAGGGGATGTTTTGGTCAAAAACTATGAATGAAAAAGTTGAAAATAATGAAACGCTATATGCTCCAGCCTTACCTTAAACAATCAAATTTGTCGAGGCACGTCATTTTGCCATTACTTACATAATGAAGCCAAAATGAAGCTGAATCCAACAGATTTCAACAGGCATGACAGGGATACTTAAGGGGTTTACTTCTCAATCCAACAGGACCAAGGCTTCCACCATGTCCAAGCGGGTGTGTAAAGTAGTTGGATCCTGTTGGATTGTGCAGGCTTGGCAGAGTTAGGGTTTCAGTAAAACCAATACTAGAATCTTATCTTGCTAAACTGTGCATTCCAATTTAAATGGTGACTTTGTGCATGTCCTTTTCAAATTGCAGTTGAGATGACACCGCAGCCTGTGGAGAGCAATGTAGGCGGGAATGTAGAAAATGCTGTAAGTAATTTTAATTTTATGGGCTTTGTGCACAATACCCCCTCAATACCGTGGACAAGCTGAATGGAAGAGCTCAAACTTGAATGTGGTTTTGCCATGATACAATGTAGAACCGGAGGAACCAACGGTTATTGGGGTACATGTAGATTGGCACATGCAGACAGGCATCTGTGGATCAAGAGAGGCGGCCCAGCATGGGATGGTACCCATTGAAGAGGTTGAATGAGTGAGAACCCTCATTTCTAGGGGGTCGGGGAATGGGGTCACGCTGATTAGGCAAGTCTCCAGGTGCTTTGTGGTGCGGGAAATCATCAGAAAAGCTGGATGCAAGCACCAATTATTCTGTCCGGCTTGCTTTCATTTCGTAGAAATGAAGAACTGTTTGTCCGAAAGACTCGTTTCAAGGCGACCTAGAGAGACCGTGCACTTTCTGGCTCTGCACCGTGTCTCTGGAACTTGTTAAAAGACGAGTTAATAAGGGCAATACACCAATTATCTCTCTTCACACGCCACCTAATGACCCACCTCTTCAATCAGTTTCTCTCTCACACATAATGACCTCTTACCTTCACGAACACTGACTTTTCACCGATCGGCGCCTTTAAATGACCATTATTTTCAGATATTGTGCGCCTTTCAAATGCTTCGTTATTATTAGGTCATTTCCAACACCTAGTCAATCGACTGATTTTGAAAATAAGAGAATGCTAAAATCGTGTTTGAGGATTAAAATATAATGCATTGTTTTTCACTTTTTTTTCTCAAAAATGGTAACATCTAATGAGCTGAAACTTGGGTTTTTTAACATTCTTGCTTGGATTTTGAGTGGTGTAAGTATTGGAAATGAAGAAAATGCATGAAAGCAAATGATCCTACATGCCTTTAAGGCTTCTCAATGATTCTAGAGCCAGAGATGAAACCAAAGCTGGCTTGTGTTTTAATACCTAAATGCACCATCCCTGTCCTTTTTAGCCCCCGAAGCCCGAGTCGCCACACGTGGAACACGGGCTGACAGAGAACATCCAGAAAATCATCAGTCACGAGAAGGTGGAGGTAGAAAAGACCAAAGTGGACCTGGAGTCGCTGACGACACGAGCGTACCTGGACAACACTGTGGTGCCGATACTCCTCCAGGGGATGTCGGCATTGGCAAAGGAGAGGTGAGACTAGAACAAAATCTGCAGCAAGCCTACTACACAGCAGTGTTGTAGGCAGGGAACATTCAGCTGTTTGCATGGCTGATTTTTTTAAAAACAAAATCACAGCCAGTTTCAAATGGTACCTTGCGTACAGCTTGCTCAGTCCATTGATAAGCTGTGCTTCACTGGAAAGTAATTACAGTCGAATCTCGTTAGTGCAAACTCTGTTAATACAAAATTCTGGTTATAACAAACAAAAAGCCTTAGTCCCGACTGTGCATTTATGTGCACAACGAATGGGACTGATGTTCCTCTTAAAACAAAATTCTGATATAGCAAACAATTTGGCTAGGTCCGAATTCGAACCAGTTTGTGTTAACGAGACTTAACTGTACCAACATTCTGTCTCACCCAAACCAATTTTTAAATAAGCAAAGGTGGTGTAAAGCGGCTGTATACATTTAATTTGTTTTTCCATAGGCGGTTAGAAAATCCTAGGTAAAGCCACTTCATGTACATGCTCTGAGTTTTTACTTAACACAATCTGTGCTTCACATGATATCTTACATAAAACACGGTTCACAGAGTTGTAATCTAGTCCATCACAAGTCAGGTGATTGACCAAGCACATGAACTACTGGGCCCAATTTTATGGTACTGCTAAGCCTACGTCTATTTCTTGGAGACCGTAAGCAGTAAAAGCACAGCAAAGGCGACATAACGACAGAAATCTCCACGCACGCGCATCCGTTAGCACATCCACGCCATGATATATAGTACTTTTAAAAGCACAATTTTCTGCTTTAGCAAGCACAACTTTTCTGCTAACTAGTACTAAGCAGCGCCGTGAAATTTGGCCCTGGTGCTTTGCACTGTAAAAGGGGAGCATTGACAAACAATTGCCTTCCTAATAGTTCAGTTGAAAAGCTTAGACCTATCACATAACATGAAACAGGATAACTTGTGATGGCTTGATTTCAACTCAGGTGCAGTTGTATACTTGTGTTATTTACCATTGAATCAAACGTAAAATCTCAGATGGATCATGCCATATTTAGAGGCTGCCCATGTCCTAAATTATAATTACTGGTACTTTGATGGGGTCAGCAGCCTTAGCCCCCAAATTTTGGCTTTTTACTTGTGCTTGCTTTCAGGGAACCAGTTTTCTGAAAAATGAATATAACGGCCAACAGATGGGTCTCAACAATTGTAGTCACTGGCTAAAACTTACTTCAGCTCCAACACACAAGACCATGCCTTGGACATTCACACAAACTTGCATAATAACATATGAGTGGTGGATGGCAATGAATAACAAAAAGCCTTTGCATTGCTTTGTCCATTTGCTGTATTTCTGTGATATTAATTCAATTTTACCATTTATATTAAATGTTGTCTTTTTGAACAGGCCACCCAACCCTATTGAGTACCTTGCTGGCTACCTTCTGAAGAATAAAGACCAATTTGAGGGAAGCAGCTGAAAAAAGTCTTAAATAAATAAAAAATAAATAAAGGGGGGAAAGAAATAACGTAAGCATTTGTCTTGTTCTTTGAATTGAACTGTCCTTGAATTGAATTGCAACAGAATGGGGAGCTTATGGACTCCGTACACAAACGGTGGATGAAGCTTTGTGAACTCTTTTGAAAGCCCCAGTGGGAGGGCATCAAGTGCACGTACTGGTTTGCAGGTGTATAGGGTGAAGTACACATGTTCGCCAAACTTGGTGCGAAGTACAACAAAGTTTATTCTGAACTGCACAAACTTTTAGTGTCTTTGCTTGGGAGTCAGAGGCTATCCATTTGTAAGTGTTGAGCGGGTACTTGTGCACGGAGTCCATAGGATTGAGATTCAGTTATAAGATCCTTTCACTGTAGATTGGACCTTTTCAAGACAGTCCAACACACTCATGGGGGGATTACTGTTTTCTTTTCCCTTGAAGCCTGTAGTCACAAGATGCATGTTTGGTAAAGAGGGTCACACTTTTCAAATACCCTGTAGATTGACTGATCAGTAACGTGCTTGACAAAATGTGTATAGCCTTGTCATGCTTACTGTGTTGAAACAAAGCCCTGCAGACTTGAAAAAAAAACCCACTGGTTAATGGTCAATTTGCATTTCATCCAAATATTTGGCAGTTGTAATGCCAATGAATCCCACACATATAATGTAAATATTGAGGTATCAATTTTCACCATTTTTTAATATGAAGGTAGAAAGGGGGCTTTCCATAATCATATGGTAACAAAAATGTTCTTTTTGAAAATGTGATTCTTTTATAGAGTTGTATATTCGGTAGAAGTTGGATACAATGTTAAGGCTACATGCATTTGTTTTAGTGATACAACACCATGTTGTAAATGAGTGTAAAATCGCAAGCAATTTGTGAAATAGCAATATTTGCACTGAAGAAATGGGTCAATACCTGAAGAAATGTCCCCAAAGGCAAAAGATTTTTCAATGTTATAAAACCTTATAGTTGCTCTCTCATGCTCTCGAACAATATTTTTTTTCTGACATGCATGTGTGTCTACTTATGTATGTTTTATTTTAACGAAGAATAATTCATGGGGGGGGGGGGGCGGAAGTCTGGAACACACTGAAACAAGGCTTTTACTTCTGGTTTGGTTTTGCATACAGACAGATCTGCCCTGCGAGTCGACTGCGAAATAGCACTTTAAAAATCAAATCTTTTTTTCGAAGTGAATCTTTAAAATGCAACTTTGAACGCCATGTCTTTTGAGGTATAAAGTATTTGATATTTGCTTTCGTAGTTGCGTTCTTTTATTTGTGTATTGTCAATAAATGTTCCCTTTGTAAATAATATCTTGGTCAAGTTGCTGCTTATTAGTGTGGTTAAGATTAAGAATCACAAGAATATCAATATTCGTTTAACACTTTACATGTAAACAGCATGCACGTCTAGAATATGTACACGTGAACTGTGCTTGGTGCTGGTGCATGCAATGGAGCATTATCATTCTTAAGGGTTTAAACCTGATTCCAGAGCCTGTTGGTTTCCATCATATTTTTTTCATTCAGGAAAACAATTATTCGACATATATTTTCTTATTTTCTATTAATTATACCATTGAGTTCAATTTTCTGATAAAAAGCTTTCAAACAGGAGAAAGAAAAAGAAAAATGACACTGATCTAGACAAAGATTCCTCACTCTAATGGATGCTCCCAGAGTGGGACAGGTGAGCTATCATTGGCCATCTCTATGGAAACGTACATGTAATGCACAGATGTACGCAATGTGGTGGGCGCATACAAAATGTAAATGAATTTCTGTCCCAATCATGTTAGTCAACTCGCTAGACACGTCGAACCCAGAATATGATGATAAACACATTCGTGCCATGCTAGTAGATACTGGGGGCGCCAACAGACAAAACACGTCACGTTTCCTCACGTCTACCACAAAGTGAGCACAAAGTCAGACTTTTTAAGAAGTGTGATTTTTTATTTCTTGATTCTGCAGAACAAGTTTCATGTTGTTATAATGTACATGTGTAATATACAGACAAAGGCTCGACCGTTCTGTTCATGGTCCATCACCATATTTATCTGGGCCACGCATGACCCAACGAGGGCAGCATACCACCATTTATACTCGTGTCTAATGCCCCCTGCATTAATCATTACTTCAGAAAGTGGAAAGATTCATCAATACATTATGACTATGCTCTTTATTTAAACTTGTCTCATGTATGCACATAGTAGCATCAAAACCACTTTCCTTGAACAAAGGCTATACATAATATGCATACATTTATTCACTTCGTAGAGCAAAGGTGCATAAAGAAAATGAAACTAATATAATTTATATCTGGGTCATTCAATAATATTGGGGTCCAAAGTGTGACATTTTGTCCTGTCCATGTTACCTCTTATCCTTATAAGAGTAATATGAATGTGTAGTTCCAAGACCACTCACCCACAGCTGTTATAGAATTCACAGTGAAACCTAAACTACAGAATACAAAAACCACAAAGATCTTTATGAGCTATAAAAGTACCCGCCAAAGAAACTGTCCTGGAATGCCACTAGTTCTTTTTCCTCGTGCTCTTCCTCGTACCTGAGGGGGATGGCGTTGCAGTCTTTTTGGCTCCCCTTCCACGCCCTCGTCCTCTTCCCCTTCCCCGCCCCCTTACCGAAGGTGACTGCATCTCCTCGGAGTGTAGCCCTTCCTCAGTATCTACACTCTCAGTATCAGCCGAGGCGAGTGCATCAGAGGACTGGCTTTCTTCTTCCGTGGTCTCCTGAGATGGCGTCTCAGTCGCTTCCTCCTCTGTCTCATCCTCAATTTCATCCTTAATTTTCATCTCGCCTCCAATGGTGGCTTCTGGTGTTTCCTCGTCTAGTTTCTCTAGTTTAATCTTTGGGAGCATCTCTTCTACTGCCGGCTCCGGTTCCTCTGTCTCAATTGCCTCTCGCTTAACTGTCACAGTTTCTTGTGTTTTCTGTTCCTCCTCAATTTGTTCTTGTCGTCTCCTCTCTGCCTCCATTTCTTGTTTTTTCTGTTCCTCTTCCTGTTTCGTTCTCTCTTCTTGTTTCTTCTTTTCTTCCTCCTTCTGTCTCCTCTCATCTTCTTCCTCTTTCTTCTTAATCTCTTCCTGCTTTTTTAACTCCTCCTCCCTTTTCTTCTTTTCCACTTCCTCCTGTCGAGCCAGTGCTGCCTTTCTTTGCTCCTCTTGTCTCCGGACCTTCTCCTCGGCCTCTTTCTTCTCCATGGCTTCTCGTGCCGCTTTCAGTCCGGCTTCCCTGGCTGCTTCTCTCTTCTCCCTTTTCTCTCTGGCTTCCCTGGCCACTCTCTCCCCTGCCTCCCTGGCTGCCTTCAGACTGGCCTCTTGCTCAGCTTTCATCTTCTCCTGCCTCTCCCTGGCCAGTTTTTCTTCAGCTTCTTTCCTCTTCTTTTCCTCTGCCTCCCGCTGGGCTTTCAACTTTTCTGCCTTTTCCTTGGCGGCCTTCTCAGCGGCCTCCTTTTTCAGCTTCTCCTGCTTGCGCCGCTCCTCGGCCAGCTTTTCCTTGAGTAGTCGCTCTTCTTCCTTCTGTTTTTCTTCCGCCTCCTTTTTGATCCTCAGCTCTTCCGAAAGTTTCTTTCGTTCCTCCTCTTCCTTCTTCTTCTTCTCGGCCAGCGGATCCTTTTCTAGGACTGCCATGATGGCTGGTGGAATGTGTGATTGCTGTGATTTCAGAAATCAATATTCTTCAAATTTAGCACTTGGCATTTAAAATTACTAATGGAATCTGTAACTGTTACTAACCGCTTTTCATTTTTGTTTACAATGAAAAAGCAATAGGGATGAAAATTAAGATAATCTGAAATTCGTAAGATTTAGAGGTGAACAAATGGCAAAAAAGCTTTTAATAATAATAAATAATAATAATGGAGTCTTAAATAGCGCACGTATCTACAAACTATTAGGTACTCAAGGCGCTGGAGATATGTCTATTATTAAAGAAAGGTAAATCAAGTTTATGAGAGATATGTGACCCATTATGTAGCACCTTATATGGGTTGACAAGGCGCTGCGGTGCATATTGCAGCCACTGCCAGAAACACCGGGGCAAACCCCTTCTCTTAGCGATAAGTGTTACTGGGTTCTTTTAACGTGCATTACACAACACACAGGACTTACGGCTTTACGTCCCCTCCGAAGGACGAAGCAATAATGGTAAAGTGCCTTGCTCAAGAGCACAAGCACCATGTTCCCACGGTCAGGATTCGAACCCATGTACCACGGCACACGAGTCGAACACCGTAACCATTGGACCACAGCACCCCACTCCACAAATCAGCTTTTGAGACCAAATGGCCTCAAAATCTGACTGTTTGGTCTAGAATGATCCAGGAGTGTTAGAGTTAAAGGCTGGGTCGTAGAGATCGTTACCTGATGTGGTGTGAAGGTCTGCACGTGTGCCAGCATCGGAGTGCGCAAATCTGGGCTCATCTCAAAGACATTCTTGAGCTGGTCGGCTGGAAGCTGCAGAAGAACCTGGAAGGACTGGGGCTTGGTGCGCTACAAGATTAAAAAACAAAAACAAAACTATGACAAGTTAGAGAATTTGAAACCTGGACGTGTTTTGAGGACCGAAATGTTGAGTGTATGGATAGATGGTTTCGTATTGTTGAGGCAATTTCATAATCAGCATTAAAGAGAATGAAAACAAGAATTTTTGACATCATGTGAAATAATTGTATTTGGGTCTGTCCACACTAACGGTTACAACTGATAACTTTATGGGTGAGACATGGGAGGTGGATTTCAAAGCAGGTTTTTTGCTTATTTCTGTTTTTCAGACATTCCTGTATTATTCGTGTTTGCACTGATAACATGGATAAATAAGTAGGCTGATTCACTGGCTATGTAGGAAACTACTAGGCCATCTTTTAAGATGCAATGAAGGATAATGTTCATAACATGGACGGACATTCTTGAATCATTCTATGTTCTTGTTATAATTAATCCAGCCTATATTCCACTTATATAACATGTTCAATAATATTACATGTTCAATAATGAATTGGTATCATTCAACATTAAAGCAACCAGTTCAGTATTTATGATATTACGATGCAACTTAATACATGTTCATAAATGGACAGAAATTTGTAACTAATTTCTGTCCCTGTTATGAACATGAAGTCTTGAAGATGTGTGCACCCTGTTAAAATACCTAGAGGTTTAACCTAAGATTGGCCAGTGGCAATCCCTCAATGGATAGCTTTATATTAGGAACACTTTTGTGATACTTCATGTATTTCATTTACAGCTTCCCAACACTTAAAACATGAAATGTCGGTCCATGTTATGAACATTAAATCTTAAAGATAATCCTCTGTAATTTCTCGAAACCTGAGAAACTGATCGAACTTGTTGGTGGGAAATGTTTTTCCTAGGATATTGGATGTAAAAAGATGGAAAACATGACAGATTACTTCATATATCGACTCGTGTCCATGGTTCCCTCTAAATGTCACACTTTTGTTTCCGTTAGTGTGGACTGTAAAAGTGTCAGACCCTACGAAAACTCACCTCGCAGCACTTGACAAATCCTTCCCAGACCTTGGGCAGATTCCAGACCTGTTTGACGATCAGCCGCTGCAGGATGTTCATGACAAAGCCGCTGAGTCTAGGATACATGCCCAGAGACTGGATGACAGTGCGCATGAGCAGCGTGGGCACGGTGCCTTGCTCCATCAACTGCTGCATGACTACGGCCAGGACCTCTTGGGTGTAGATGGTCTTCTCGTTGAAACACAGGCTGGTGGCTGTGCAGATAAAAATGTGGGCTTATAGACTAATCCAGCAGGCTCATTTAGAAGCCATTAATAGGGCTCGTTCAATGATGGCCATTTCTGTAGGAGAAGTGCAACTGCGTATTTTACGCAATGAAGCACTCATTGCTCAGTGTTGAAAATGTTCCAAACGCGCCCTTGTTGCTTGAAATGTGTTCAAAATATGACGCAGCTGATGTTCGTTATGCAAGTTGTCGCTCAAAATGCCGATGCACGTGGATGGTCTGTAGGAAATGACGCCATTTGAACGAGACCTATACTTAGGTGGTACCTCAATTTTAAGAACATGTGCAGCATGCCCGCAATGGTACTACCTCATTAGAGCTTTCTAATTGTATTTGACGAATTGGAGCTTAACCTGCAAGTCTCTGTACTCAATCCACCCTGCCCGTTACTACCTGTACCGCCCGAAACTACCAAAGCACTTTAAGCATTTAAGATTTCATCTGAGAAGGTTAAAGTGAATCATCGTCATGAACTCTTGCTCTTCACACGAGTATACACGAGTATAGACCATTCCAAGCATACATTACAATCATTGTACACTCTCTGATGCCCCCTTCAATGGCAAAAGCATCGTCACAGCTATTGTACAAAGCAACTGCCTCTTGACGGATTATCTCAACAAAAGCTTGCACAATGCTTTTGCCATTGAAGGGGCCTCCCCGAGTGTGCAGCAATAGCATGCTTGTTGTGGTCTATAGCACAATGTACTTACAATTTGGGTGTTTCACAATGCAGTGCGCCACCAAGAGTTTGCCACGGAGAGTCCATTTTTCAAGTTTACGGTCGACAAAACATGACCCATTTGAACGTGTATCAGTAGACAACTTGAGCTAATTTGTTAAGGATTGGGGCATAGCGTTCTGCCGCCTTACAAAAAACATCATATTGATTAAAACAAAAGAAAAGGACAAACAGATACTCAAATCATTCACTCTAATAATCACTCTAACAATTTCAAATAGCCCGCGCTGCGCATTTGTCGCCCATCTCCAACAATGCACTGGGAAAAATGAGCTCTCCGTGGCAAACTCTTGGTGGCGCACTGCATTGTGAAACGCCTGAACTGTCATCTGAATTTGCACAAACCCATTTGGTCTGCACTTGGGCACCCAGCGTCTGGCATCCAGGAGACTGTCTATTTAACCCTTTGTCAAAGTTGACTGGGTACCTGGAGCCAATTTCACGGCGCTGCTAAGCACAACAGTTTGCTAAGCACAAAAAAATCTAGCTTATACAAGCAGGTTACCAGCCAAAACTCTATGTGATTTTCATGCTCAGCAAACAACTAATCACGAGCAATGTACATCACATGGAGTTTTGGCTGGTAACCTTTTATAAGCAAGACTTTTTTGTGCTTTGCAAACTTTTGTGCTTAGCAGCGCTGTGAAATTGGCCAACTTGATCCAGTCCACTCATAATCCTTGCTAACCTTTAATGATGGATTTGATGTCACACTTGGATGTGTCGATGTTGTGCAGTGCTATCAGAAGCTCGGCCGGCGTCAGCGGGCTCTGACCGGCGCTGTTGTCCCCCTGATGACTCATCAGCAGGCGATGGAACACCTCCTTGACTACAATGGGGTTTAACTTGATCAGTTTGGGCAGGGCCGCTATCACCTCTTTCTGAAAAATTTGGGACAAAATGCAATTTTCGTTTTTAATGGATCATTTCTAAATTGGAAAATTATAAAATCCTGGAAAAGTTGTGAAATCGTCTATAAGAAATGGAATAGCATTGAGAATCCAATGTTTAGAATTTCCCAACATGATTTGCAACAAGATCTTTTTCAGACTCAATACCTAACCAAGAACTGTTATACCAAAAGAGCTAAGGAACTGGGCCCAATTTTATGGCTCTGATAACCACCGAGTTCAGAGCTTACAATTACCATTCTAAATTAACAGCGCTAGCCAAAAAAAATCACCATTCTAGCAAAAAATAAAAGAAAAAAGAAGAAAAAAATAGCTTTGCTAATCCTGTAAGCACAGATTTTAAGTTATGTACGCATACACATAAGCCATAATTCTGTGCTAATCCATGAAATATGCTAAACTGCAAGCACAGAATTTTCTGCTTGATAAGTGGCGATGTTTCGCTAGAAGTTAACAGACCAATGCAACTGGGCCCAGGCCACAAAGATTTGGGGCACAAAAATCCGATCTGGGACCAGTTTCGAGGACTTTTCCTGGCAAAGATAATGTTTGCTTTAACCCTCGCGTCTTAAGGGCTCTTTGGGGGTCAAGGACCAAATGCCACAGAATACTACATGTGTTGTGCACACTTGTATGGAAAGAAAAGCATACTACAGGTTGCTACTGAGTAGTATGTTGTAGCGTTAGGTGAGGTTAGGGTTAATAGCCAAAACAGGTTACCAGGTAAAATTCCATGTAAAATATTGTTCGTGACCGGTTCTCACCAGCTTATTTTCCCAATAGCACATAAATTTGTCAAATAGGCTATCAGCTTCGGTCCAAAAATTGGGCCACCGGTATCAAATGATCGAAAGGAGCAATGCTCATAGCGATTTTTGGAAAGGTAAGCACATCTAGAGTTGGAAGATGTGTGATAGCTTTGCAGTGTGAGCAGTGGCAGCCTTTTGGTTATTTTTTTCAAAATGGCCGCCAATATGCTTGTTACTGGATTAATTATATGTGGTAACAAGCATGTTTTGGCCGCCATTGTTTAAAAAAAGTGATAGCACCCAAAAAGCTGCCACCACTGCAATGCTATCACATATTTTCCAACTACAGGGGTGTATACCGTGCCAAAAATCACAATGAGCATTATTCCCCTCATCTGATACCGACCAAACCCCCAGGCTGATGGCCTAAAACAATATGTCCAGAACCTGACATGAATGGACAAAACTCATCAACATTGTACTCTTTTTTTTCTTCTGTTCATACCTTTTCCAATCCAATCAGAACGGGGATCAAGAAGCGTACATCAGAGACACGTTTCAGGTACAGGTCACGCACTCGCTTTACAAGGTCTTGCGACGGCGGAGCTAATTTTCAGATATGAACAAAATCAATTTTTTGGTAAATCATTATTGAACACTTTACATCATTAAGCGGATCACATAAAATTGAGGAAAGATGAAATGAAAAGCAAAAGGAAGGTTGTCAGAAAACACTGACACATTCAACTGAAAATGAAAAAAAAATGCACACTAAACCTCATTGAAAACTGACAAAAGTTTTTATAAACTGATAAATAGGTCCAATCTTAGGAAATTGTTGGCTGAGGTTGTTGGTATGAGAGAATAGAAAATTAAAAGCGACGGTAGTGGTATAAACAAAACGATCATCCTGGTACTCAACTTGAATGTGAAGGCTAATGTAAACACAAACAAGAATTTGTGCCAACACGGAGAGCATTCGCATTGTTAATTTATACAAACTGAACATGTCGACTCTTGTGAATTCTGCCACAAATGTTTCGTGACATCAACTTCACTTCGCATTACCAGTTTTTGTGAAATTTTAGCTGGTCTTAAGGCCCACTTGTAAACTTGAACTCACACGCAAACTTATGACATTGTGAGTATTTAATAGAAAAAGCCAATTTACACATAGTGAACTTTGGCACACTTTGATGTACGTGTAAATGTAAATACTGCGTTAGGTCCCCCCAAAAACAAGGAATTTACATTCAAAGTGTGAGCTCACAAATCATGCTGAAACACTAACGTACATGTACTTGAATCCATCAAAATCCATACCCCTGTTTTGGAGCATTTCAGCGGATTCAGGATACCTTTATATTGACAACGGGGATTTAGATGGATTCAGGATTGTAAGCCTAGCAGTACTGCAGGATTTTGATGGATTCAGGATACCTCCATACTGAGCAGTCACCAACACCAAAATGTTTGTGCATGACACAACAGGTGGATTTTGGCGGATTCAGGATACTTTCTAGTAAAAGTGCTCCAGGGGTTAGGGTTGATACAATTCATCCCCCTGCCATTTAACCAACTATCCATTTCATCCAACGAACAATCTTTTGGCAGTGCCATGGACTTACCCCTGTCAGTCAATATGTGTAGCATTCTAGTGACTAGTGTTTCTGCTCCTTTTGGGCAGTTCTCAACCAGCAACAGCAGTTCAGGGGAAGACATGCCCATCCCACGCACCTTCAAAATTGCAAGATCAAAGTTGTAATGAAACATCCTAGCACTTGCTAGTAGCAAGTGCTCACACGTCAGTCAAATCTATTTGACAAGTCTATCCATAGATATTCAATCTTATAAGGTAGTTGACACCATTTGCAAACACTCAAAGATAAAACTGACAAATTTTTACGAAATATCCTACTAGAATTTAAGTAAATTATACCATCCTGTGAAATCATTGCACCTACAATGCAATGGTTTGAATCGTCACAACACACAAGAAAAAAAACCCAGCTTTTGTTCAAATATTGACCAAATAAAGTTTAGCTTGCGATCGGATACATAGCCCTGAATGAGAACTACTTTTCTCAAGTAAACTTCTCAAGTGCAACCTGCACCAAGCATTTTGATGAGAAGTTAGCTGACAAAAATCTAGACGTTTCAAGACTAATTGTCCTTACCGGCGCTTCAAGCACTCTTAGAACGGTCCTTTTGATGAGAGCAGCAGTGGCTACATAAACTGTCGCAAGCCTGCAGAGCAAAAAAATGCACAACAGAAAAAATTGTAAGTAAACGTGAAGACATCACTTATTAATTGGGCATAAAATAGTTAAAAAGGGCCAAAATGTTATGCTTGAAATTATTATCATCATTATTATCTAAGAGTGAAATAATAATGACACACTGACAATGAATTATTATTAAGACATATAAATTTCCAAGATTTATGTCCAACAATGCTTGTCTGGAAAAAAAATTAACAAAATTTAGTTCCAGAAGTTCCAGTTGAGAGTCAATGGGCAAGAAATGTTCGCAGATTTTCGGAAACCATCTGAATAAAGGGTTCATTTGGCTTCATTTTGCCCCTGTAAACGCACAAAAAGATCCACCTGAATCATATAATTCAAAATTTGTTACAAATTCGAAAATAGCACAGGGAAAGCAACCCCCTGCTTTTTAAGTAGTCACAGACAGTCAAAATTTACTTCCACTCCCCCTGCTATACTTTTAATAAACGCTAGTCACCAACAGTCAGATCAAAATCAAGCAAGCACTTTGACTAGTCAAACTGGGTCAACAGTCAAAGCAGATAAGTTGTAATCACAGTTGTTATATCACTCACTAGGAGTCAAAGCATAGCTGTATCAAGTTACTTAATCACGACAAGGCAGTCGATCCTGCATTATGTGGGCTGGGAATTCTTCTATTACTATTACTATTACTATTTTATTTCTCGGGAAAATATCAACAAATACATGTAAACAAATGACTAAAGTTACAACACAAAGCAACAAAAGCTTGAGATACATAAACAAACAAACAAAAACAAAATACCATTCAGCTCCCGAAGGATTGCCCAAAAGAAACGTTGTTTCTGTCTAGGGGTTCTCCAAACTGAATGGCATACGTGAAAACAACAAGCAATAAATATAAAAAGAAATGTTAACTATACAAAAAAAAAAAAAGTTAAATAAGTTACATTAAGTCAAGAACAAAGTTGGTAAATTATATAATTATTAGACAAACAAATCAAAAGAAAAAAAAAATCAATTACATTTGTACTAAGTAAATTAAATGAATAAACAAATTAATATATACATTGTACTTCAACTACTACCACTACTACATGTACTACTACTACTACTTATATTAATAGATAAATAAATAATTAGACAAGTTGGTAAGTTAGCCTAATTAATTAATTAATTAAATGAATGAGTAAATATTGCATTTTTAATTCTTTAAATAAATAGTTATTAATAAATAAACAAAAATTACAGTTTTACAATAAAAAAAAAAAAATGATTCATAATAAAAAAAAAAGAAAAGTTTTCATTATATGAAGGGGTTGAAGAAGGTTAGATAAATAAGTTCAATAAAGTGTACAGTGTAAAGCAAAGCTTGTGATTATTAATTGTATTAATGAAATTTGAATACTGTAACAAAATCGCTGAAATCAAATCAATTCAATATACATCACCAAGCTTTAAAGGGAGAGATAAAAAAAAAAAAAAAAAAAAAAAAAAAAAACCACAACAAAAACACAACCAAAAAACATCGAACAACCCATCAATAAATATGTACAATAATAAATAAATACATACAAATTTTTTTTTAATTTTTAATTTTTAATTAAATAATCAAATAATTAATTAAATAAATAAATAAACAAGTAAATAAATAAATAACTTAATAACTACATAACTAAAAAAAAAAAAAAAAAAAAAAAAAAAAAAAAATAATAATAATACAAAATACAACTAAATCAACAAGAATTAAAATCATACACTGAGTAAAATATACGAAAATCTATAACAGTATCTAATCAAAATCAAAACAACCTGGATCGCATGTAAAAAAAAAAAAAGAAGGTAACCACTTTAACCAAGACAGTTAGTGAATGCCTTAATAGGCCTGAAGGATTGGACTAGAACTGAAAAGATGATCGCGTAAAGAGTTAATGAATGGTTTATATGAAGGTTCGATACAAAGGTCTCTTAGGTCACAAGGAAAAGAGTTAAAAAACCTGGGGAAGAACATAAATGAAGAAAATTTTAAACAGTTAGTCCTGCTGTACTGATGTTTAAACAGCAAAGTTTCGGTCTTTCTAGTATTTGGCAGTGGTAGGAAAGTTTCGGGAATGCTGTTGTGTCTGTGTAGGCATTTAGTAATGAAGCATACAGTGAGGAATATCAGTCTGTTGTAGAGAGGGGCCAAGTGAAGTGTGGTTAGACGTTGTTCATAAGAGAGGGAATTGGAAACCTGAAACGGAAAGCATGACCTAGTAAAGCGTCGTTGGATTGATTCAAGGCACTCAATGTGGTTTTTCTGGTGTGGAAGCCAGACAGGAGCAGACAGTCTTCAGTGCTGAAAACAGTCACTTGATCGATTTCGACTGCAAGGACAACTTGGCACAGAATGTATGTTTGCAATAGGAGGGTTAAAGTACAATGAAAACAAAAGAGAGCTCACTCATGTATGAGGCTGTGGTTGCTAGGTAACAAGGCCAGGTATAGATGCAGGCACAGCTTGATGGAGGCTTCCGTCCAATCACCACCCTCCTCGCTGCCTTCTGACACCTCCGAGGTTCGACTAATGAGGGCAGCCTTCGGCTCACTCAGCAGGTAGTGCAGACACGTGCTAGCAAAATCCTGAGTGGTTTAAACCATTCAACGAGTTGGATATTTCTTGGATGTTCGCGAAGTACTTTGTAAGGCTTCACATAGGGGAGAGTACATTTTTGGAAGATCAAAGCGTTATGTGTGCTGCCAGGAAAGGACTCTTTTTGGCGGCTTGTTGAAAAAAAACCCCACATTTTTTTGAAAAATGTTTAAATACAGCTCCTTGCCTTCACAGAGACAGTTAAAATTTTTGAAACGGACTTTCTTTGGCAAAATTATGTTAAAAGGGAGAAACTTCCTGTTAAACAGTTTTGGATTTTTGTATTTCTTAAACTGATCCACGCCATAAATCATCAAAAAATCACCTTTAGAGGCAATATTACAGTTTTGAAACTTCAATAGTATAATTAACCAAGATTTAGGACAACAAATGATATGGCCCAACTTCATTTTTTTGTCAAATATTCATTTCAAGCTCTGGCCAAATGTACTGGTCTTGACAGAACACTCCATAAATAGAGAGCAGGGTGTAATGAGAGCTAGTTCTTTCATAATAAGTTTCTTTCTGTAGTTTGTTGGCAGGGAGAAAAAAAAATGGATTATTTCATCAGAACACAGATATACCCACCTTAAAATCTCCAGAACCTGATAAGTGTTTAGCTTAGAAGGCACTACCCAATAAGCAGCGTTGTAGTCCAATCCATCACAATTCCCGTCAAAAGTAAATCAAAAGTCCTTTCACAAGTCCAGCCACAAGTTAACAGATGATAAACGAATACAAGGGAATGCCTTTGTCAAATTTGTTTGGAATAGCTCCTGACCTGAATTGAGATTGGAAGACTTGTGATCGACCTGTGATGATGTTAAGGACTTTTGATGGACTTGTGAGGACTTTAAGGACTTGTGATGGACTTGTGAGGAATTTAAGAATTTGTAATGGAGTTTTGAGGACTTCAAGGACTTGTGATGGACTTGTGAGGACTTGTGAGGACTTGTAATGGACTTGTGAGGACTTTAAGGACTTGTAATGGACTCGACTACTACACTTCTAATAAGCATCTCATCTTACCTCGATTGTTTCTTTCAAGTCTTGCCTCTCGTAGAGTCGTTTGACGTACTGGGTGGCCTGCGACCTGACTTCTGTCCGTTCATGAAAACTGAGTTCAAGAAGCTCCTGCAGGTAGCGCTTGATGTTTGCTGGCCGCTTCAAGATCAGCTCACGCAGGGCATGCATACCGGTGAAGAAATGGGTCTAACAAACAAAACCAAAAAAAAATGAAAAGGAAAACAATCTTGAATTTGAGAGTGAAATCAGATATCTAATCTGCTTGGATAAAATGAACTTCCATGATCCATTTTACATTGTTAAATGGGCTCCGTGCACAAGTACCCCTAACGGTAAGAAAGAGAGAGTTGGGGAGACCATTTAGAATGACATTATTCATAAGATGGAATTTTGTGTCGGGGTGATATAAATCAAATTAACATACTGAGTATACAGTGTTTATATGTAGGTGATGGGCAAAACCTAATTTGATTAAGAATGACATTGCTTACAATGCTTGACGCTCACATGAAGACGCTATGGTACACATTGGTACACATTCAAATTAGTTGGGTACACTATACAAATATTGAATGCTTCGAGTGGTGTAGTAAAACTAGCCTCCCGAGGTGATCCATGGACATTCTATTTTCCCGAGGCGGAGCCGAGGGAAATTAGAATGCTCCATGGATCACCGAGGGAGGCTAGTTTTACTACACCACGAGATAAAGCATTCAATATTTGTTTTATAACACTTCACCCACATATTCTGCTTGGTTTTAATATTTTAAATTATTTAAATCTGAACACAGTTGAAATAAACTTCAATTTCAATACAAAATTGGTGGAAAATGTATTTCTGTCTTCCAAACTACCCCTTCACGAAATGTTTGAATCCAACTCTGCGGCGCGCTCTCTTTGGAACAAAACGCGCTACGCGCACACCAGCATGCATTTGCACACAAATACTGCGCCATGGATATAGTACTTTGGTTGCTAATGGTATAGTACTTTTGGCCGTGCACAGAAAGATAGCAGAAATATAAAAGTACCATGTGACTCGTTCTTTGCCAATCAAGACACAGAATCTGTGGGTAAAGTGTTTAATGCCCGCTATATATGCGCGCAAACCAGTACGTGAATGCGGTGTGTCCCATCCACTGGGTTCTTGAAAGTGATGAGCAAGCACCCCCTCTTGTTTGCACACGGATTAGAATGCATAATGTAGAATATTCGACTGAGCAAATCTGTATGTCCGACCTTAATTGTCTCAAGTTCATTCACATTAACAACAGCTGAAATGAGTTTTACACACATGTAATAAAAAAGTGTCCATTGTAAATGTACACACTGACAATTTTGATCAATATCTTGCTTAATTTCACATAAACAGAGACTAGATTTTGACTGTTTCTCATATCGAGTTGAAGAGGTCTATACTTTAGACAACAATTTTATTGGGTTACAAAGAACATACAATTTATTTTAGTCAGATACATGATTTTAAATACCCCGTTCCTCAGACCTCTTTACAGAGAATTTTTTGTGAACTGTTTATTGACATCAATTAATTTCATTAAAAGAATGCAACTCCTGTACCTCATCTTCGCAGAATTTCCGGATGACTTTGACTGCTCTCTCAGTAATAACTGGCGCTTCCATTATAAGGCGTGTGAACAATCTGGAATGATAAAGGGCTCACATTTAAGAGAAGTCCAAAAAGCCAAAATGATAGAACTTTTCTCCTTGTTTCTTTTTTATTTCCAACCATTAACACCCTTAGTGACCAGTCTACAGTTGGGGTTGGAGTTTGTGATTGAGGCTGGGGCATGGGGTTGGAGTTTGCGGTTAGGGAAGGGGATGGGGGGAGTGGGGAATGAGGGTGGAGAGTTGGTTGGTGACATATGGAACTGAAAGGGCACTCTCGCTCGTCTCACTGGTCTTGGCTGTGTAACTGTGCCGTCAGCATGGCAAAAAAAGCAGCTAACATGGGCTCATACTGGGATAGTAGGCACCTGGGGGCTTTGGGTTGAGGTTGGGGCTTTGTGTTGAGGTTGGGGTTTTGTGTTGAGGTTAGGGATTCGGGTTGAGCTTTTGTGTTGAGGTAGGGGTTTTGTGTTGAGGTTGGGGCTTGGGTTGAGGTTGGGGCTTTGACTTGAGGTTGGGCTTTTGTGTTGAGGTTGGGGTTTTGGGTTAAGGTTGGGGTTTTGGGTTGAGGTTGGGGCTTTGGGTTGAGGTTGGGCTTTAGTGTTGAGGTTGGGGCTTTGTGTTAAGGTTGGGGTTTTGTGTTGAGGTTGGGGTTTTGGGTTGAGGTTAGGGTTTGGGGTTGAGGCTTTAGGTTGAGGATGGGGTTTTGTGTTGAGGTTGGGGTTTTGGGTAGAGGTTGGGGTTTGTGTTGAGGTTGGGGCTTTAGGTTGAGGTTGGGGCTTTAGGTTGAGGTTGGGACTTTGGGTTGAGGTTGGGACTTTGGGTTGAGGTTGGGACTTTGGGTTGAGATTGGGGCTTTGTGTTGAGCTTTAGTGTTGAGGATTTTTTTTTTTTGAGGTTGGGGTTTGGGTTGAGGTTGGGGCTTTGGGTTGAGGTTGGGGCTTTAGGTTGAGGTTGGGACTTTGGGTTGAGGTTGGGGCTTTAGGTTGAGGTTGGGACTTTGGGTTGAGGATTTGGGTTGAGCGTGTCACATTGGAAACTCATGGAAGGGGATAGGGGATAGGTTTGTGTTGAGGTAGGGGTTTGGGCTGAGATTGGGGTTTGTGTTGAGGTAGGGGTTTGGGTTTAGGTTGGGGCTTTAGGTTGAGGTAGGGGTTAGGGTTGAGGTTGAGTCTTTAGGTTGAGGTTGGGGCTTTAGGTTGAGGTTGGGGCTTTAGGTTGAGGTTGGGACTTTGGGTTGAGGTTGGGGCTTTAGGTTGAGGTTGGGGCTTTAGGTTGAGGTTGGGGTTTGGGTTGAGGTTGGGGTTTTGGTTGAGGGTTTGGCTTGAGCGTGTCACATTGGAAACTCATGGAAGAGGATAGGGAACTCTCACCCATCTCTCTGGTCCGGTCTGTCCAGCAGTGCCATCAGCATGGCACACAGCAACTTGTCGTATCGATTCATGGTGATTTCTTGGTCCAAGTAGCGAGGCATGTATCCCTGGTAGCTGCTGTACTCTTGATACAGCCAGGCAAAGGCCAGCTCAGAACGCGAACGAAGATCTTCTAGAACATGGTCCTTCAGCACTGGATCAGTTACAAAAAACAAAACAGCAGAATGAAACAGTGAATAACCAGTTATTTCCCAAACTAATCTAACAACAATGATCTCACATACATTTGTCTAAAATAAAGTTTGGTTAACCTAGATCTTTGAAGATAAAATATTCTTTAATGAACCATACTTTTGATTAACAAAGGTGAGACCAAAAAGATGCTGAATTTACATTTCTCAAGGTCACTCTTTGACGAGGAGAAATAACTGTTTTCAAAATTTAGATATCAAATGGGCATTCTCCACCCTTAAAATTTTGTTTCTGTTTCACAATTACATTTAATTTACATTTTTCAAATTCAGTTTCTGAAGTGATGCCAATTTCTCAAAGTCTAGGTAGAAATCCAGTGACCATTCTTCAACCTTCAAGATATAGGCATCTTCAAGATACAGTTCAGAGAAGAGGCAAAAGCAATACAAATCAACAGGTTTTTTCATGCTGCAAACCTGCAAATTTAAAAATACTTCAATTCGGCAAATTTGGCTGTGAATGTTTAATGTCAAATTAGCTTCAAGTTTGCATTAACATGATGTACGAACCAGACCCTATGATTACAGGAAACCTTGTTGGCATTAAGAGCTGAGTAATACAGAATAGAAGAAGAATCGGCACCAACTGGGATGGGGATTCACGGCGGCAAGACCAAACTACTGACAGTGAATGCAGCTGAACACAGGAATCACTCTTGGCGGTAAAGCTTTGAGGAAGTGGACTCCTTCGTCTACATGTTGAACCTGGGCAGCATCATCGACAAGCAAGGTGGCACAGATAATGACGGCAAGAATCGGTAAGGCGCGAACAACATTCCCAATGCTGTCTAAGGTTTGGAGCTCGACGAAGTACTCTACCCACACCAAGATCCGAATCTTCAACTCAAACGTCAAGTCAGTCTTACTCTATGGCTCAGAGACATGGCGAACCACAAAAAAAAAATAATGAAGAAAATCCAAACATTTGCAAACAAGTGTCTGCGAAGAATCCTCCGCATATACTGGCAGCAACATGTCTCAAACCAGGAACTGTGAAGGAGAGCTCAACAAACCCCAATTGAGGAGGAAATCCTGAAGCGCAAATGGAGGTGGATCAGCCACACTCTAAGGAAGCCGATCTCAAGCATCTCAAGCCTGGACTTGGAATCCACAAGGGAAAAGAAATAGAGGAAGACCAAAGAACACCTGGCAGCGAGACACAATGGCTGATGCGAGACAGATGGGATACAGCTGGAAGGAGCTGGAAAAGCTAGCAAAGAACAGACCAAGATGGAGGAGCTTTGTAGATGGCATATGTGCCACTAGGCATCATCAAGGCATTGAGTAAGTAAGTAATACAGAATTTTTCCGAAAACAATAACTTACTTGGAAAGAGATCCCCGCCAAACTGGCTGACAAGTCCTACAAGAATCTTGATCCGGGCCTGAGATGCCCCTCCCTGCTGAGACATTTCTGAGCGCAGCAAAAGAAAGTTACAAAATATAAGAAAACAAAATCATCCCTCCCTCTGTTTAAACAGCCACAGACAGTCAAACATTCAATGCACTTCCGCTTTTATGACTTTATTCACAGGCTAGTCACCAGATATGGTAAGCACTTTGACTAGTCAAATTCAAGAACTGGCAAATGAATCACTAAATATCAAGTAGCATAAATTGTCACAGCAAGTCAATGGCACTTCTACTCTTAAAAACAGTCACTTTATTGCTTTTGACTGCTGAGACAGCTTTGTTCAATTTGTCAGCTAGAGTTGAGGGTTATAGGGGCCCACATATCTGCATGTCTTGCACCCGATTTCACGAAGCGCTGTGACGCGTCGCAACCCGAGTTACGACGTGTAACACGTCGCAACTCGCGAAGTGTCGTATGATCCATTTCAGGAAACTTGTGATGTGTTGAATGCATCGTAAGTTTCTTGACAATTGCTTAAAACACGTCGCAAGTTACGATGTGTCTAATGGTCATCGCAAAATAAGAAGCCTGTTTTATGCCATAAAAATACATAAACGAGACTATAATACCGAGACAATGTGTGTAAAGTTCTAAATAGAAAAAGCATTGAATAATTATGAACTAGCCCGGAATCCACTCAGAGCTTGTTTTCCTTTAAAATTGCATCACACGTCTGCCATTTTGTTTTACGTTTTAAACAATTTTGAGAGGAGATCCGACGACTCTTTGTTGAATATCAGACGACTATTTACTGTATGCTGACTAAATACATAAAACAGTAACCGAGTTACTATAAAAATAACTACGACACGTCACACTTTCGACGTGTTTTCTGAAATGGATCGCAGGATGCGTTGAAGCTGCGACGCGTCGTAAGGATACGACGCGTAGCAGCGCTGCGATGCATCGTAAGTTACGATGTGTTTTTTGAAATCGGGTGCTAGATCGCTCTTCATTTTCATCCATGAAAGTGTTCTTCAACAAGACGACTTACTCTCTGTGGCAATTATCCTAGAGACAGCCCCCTTGATGAGCTTATTGGCCACTGGTTGCTCCAGCGGTACAGTCACATCACCCAGCCTGAACTGCTTCATTCTGGCTCGTGGTTTGGGCACCCCCATCGGGGCTTGGAAGGATAGCCCCGATTTCTTGCGGCTAGTTTCCTCCTCTGCCTCCCCTGAAATGGAGGGAACAAACTTGTATCTTAGGAGTCATATTATTTAAAAGTAGGTAGGATTAATTGTTTTTAGTGTATTTTTTTTTATCAATTGAAGTAACAGAATTACTCAAAATCTTAAGTAGGATTCATGTACAACAATTTACATGTATCTGTTAAAGGGAATATACAACATTTGCTTTTGCTGCAATTTTCAAAAATAAATGGATTTGGAGGATTAGTATGCTATAGAAAATATTGTTAAACTGACTTGTTTCACGTTTTGGGACTGAAGATGCTGGAAAATCTAAGAAAACCAACCATGTTCTTGTAGTCTGGTTCCCTGACCCAACTTAAGATGAGACGTTGCAATTTTAAGACTTAAGGGAATTATAAGGTCAGAGAATCAGTCTAACAGACTTGTACCTTTTTACAGATGTGTTATCAGTTGCAAAGAAAATGCGGAATAACTAAATATGAAAAGTTAGAAGCACTTAAAAAAGAAGAAGCCAGTGTTCTCAAAGGATGATCGGCCGACCAGCATTGGAAAAATACAAGTTTTCTTAAAAATGTCACAACACCAGGAGCCAAGATTTTACAGGATGCTTTAGACTGTCATTCACTAACAATTGAGTAAAATATTTCGTAACAATTTAATCATTTTGTTCTTTGATGTTGGCAAATGTTGTATCTTCCCTTGAAACTTTCAGGTCAGTGGATCCTATACAGTTTGAGAATACGGAGGAAACGCATGCAGAATTTCTTGTGTCTCTTCACTGGATTCCGTGGTTAACACACGCAAAAAACTGTGGCTGATGGCACCCATTTGAAACCACCTTTTGTGTTAGTTTTCTTCCAAACATGCCAAACGAAACATTTTTGGGTGGAGTTACTTCACATGGTATTTGGTAAATGTCCCAAGGTTTCTGTCATTAAATCGGTCAGTACTTTTCCAGATAATTGCAAATGATCCCATGTGGCTTTAAATAGCCAGGATATAAACGTTACAGACAACTTTCTCTGCAATAGGCTTAATGATCCATTTGAGTTAATCACCTGTTTTTGAGCAGTGCTCCTTTTAAATTATATACAGCTGATTAAAAACCCATTAACCAGTTCTCACCTAGTACAGGAATGCCCGTTGGCTTCTGTGCCTGCAACTTATTCTCCTTATCAGCTGCCTCTTCTTCTTCAATAACCTAATTGAAGAATAAGAAATCAATGACTTTAAACTCATTGTTTGAACAAACGCAGATGTACAAGATTTTTTAGGTGGGCATATGTACATGTACAGTAACTGAGCGATTTGGAAGTGACTATGGCTCAGTTAAGAAGTCACAATTCTATTCAGAATTAACGGTGTGCAACTAGTCTTTACCGGTGACCACAATTCGCAGTCACAATCCCCATTTTTAAAAAGTTGCGGTGGCACGACTAGTTCGCGCCCAGCAACAGGTCTTGGCCAATGATTAGTCTTGTGTCGCGACTAGTCTTGCTCTGCGACTTGGTACAGTGTAGCTGTGCCAAATATCTTATGCCACAAGTTTTTAAGGTAAACTTGATGAATTGATTTCATGTGCTGATGCCTGACAGTATAGTCAACGTGCATGTGCACATTTTTCACAAACAGAATGAGGGTCGGGACATCATCGTGTCCATGTGTTTACCCACAGAAAGTTGGCTTTTCATTAGTTATCACTGCATTTTCCGCACTTAACATGCAAAATATCAATCGGAGCTACATGTACCGGTATTTCCTAAGAACTAATCAGGGCACATAGTCGCGCCAAATCGACTAGTCACGACTACAGGTACTTATTACACGACTATCTGACTAGTGAAATCAAACTAGAGCTGCACAGCACTATTTAGAATCGTCTCAAAATGTCCCCCAACAGAAAAGGGAACAATCCCTCAATCTAACCCACTAGTAAATTGCTCACATGAGGAGATCCTACGTTAACAAATTATGATTTGTGACACACTTCATGACATTTAAAATGTCAATAGTATCTGTTTCCTCCCCGAATTTTCTTATCTTTCAACTCATGTTGAATTTCTCCTTTCCTTATCATTGTATAATTATTGTATTTGTGTTCTTTTACTTTGATATATGCCTATTGTTTAAACTTTTTCAGTCAAGTGTCTTTTAATTCAGCCTGCAGGCTGGTATAAGCACTCTTTTAATAAACCACAATAATAATAATAATCATCATCAATATAAATAATATTAATGTTGGTATAAGAACATCAGGCGCTACCGGAAATTGAATCTCAAAGAAGCAAAACCAGCAACTACAGAGAGTCCAACCTGGTAATTATAGGGTAATACAGTATCTGAGAAGTGATTATCTCCTGAACCAAAAAGACAGATAATAGAAATACTGTAATCAGAGTGGCATATCCTCTCTCAGTGATCCCTGTTTGCTATTTATTTACCAGGTTTGCAGCATTGCTTATGCTCCTAGCATCGTTTGCACAAGGCATATCTGTACAAGCTTTCGCTTCAAGAAAATGCCTCCGTGCTTTCTTCTTTATTTTTCAGATTTTATATTAACTTTATTTACTTAAATTTTCATTTAATTATTTCAGTTCATTTATTTCTTTTGAATGGTTTACTTCATTCATATTTAGTTTACTTGGTTTACTTCTTGGTTTTACTAGGAAGCACGGAAATCAAATCAAATCAAATAAAATCCATGATTTTGCACACATGGGTGTTTGGCTTCTGACTCGCACCCCTTGCAGAAAGACATTGACTAATTGGGAGAACCCCCAACATGGGGTGGAAAGCTCAGTTGGTAGAGCCCTGAGGTCAAAGGTTCAAATCCTGCTCCTGTGAATTTCATTATTCAACTTGATGAGAATAACTGAGCAATATTTTTAGAAATTTTACCTCCATATTCTGTGGTTTGATGCCTGCTGCCGCAAACTGACTGCTCATCATGCGGGCCAAGTGGCCGATCTGGCTGTCGGTTCCTGCCGCCGCAATGGGGGTGTAGGTGGACTGGAACTGTGGGGGCATGCTATCTGGCAACGTCACCTGTCACAAATCATATCTTACGTCGGTCACAGGGTTCAGAGCATGAATTGTGGCCTGTTTGAAATGAGAATTTAATATAGCTGGTCTTGGAAGAACTGTATTTCACATGGACCTTTTTGAGGTATCGTTTATATGAAACCTTTTGAAGACTTACATTCCTATATCATAAATGAACTCTAAAATTCACAAATTTCTCAAACATTTCACATTAAACTTTACAAGAAATGTGAGGCAGATCTATTTTAGTTTTGAGAGATGGTTTCCAGTTGGAGCTATACAATGAACTACAAGTAACTGCAGAATTCTAGTCTGTCACAAGTCAAATTACAAGTCAGTTATGGGCTCCGTGAACAAGCACTCCTTCAACGGCGAGAAAAGGAGAGTTGGGGGAGACCTAGACTGGTTCCCGGTCCATCATCTGCGTATTTCCCATGATCGAAAGTTATTGGGGGCGGGGATTAGTCTGGGAGACCATCGCAAGTTAAACTGGAACGTATTCGCACTCCAACAACGCCTGATGCTCACATGGAGATGCTGTGGCCAATAGCTTTGGCTTATTCAGAAAGTCATGCGTACTTGGCATGCAAACCAGTTCAGTACAGTACGCCCACGCTGTGTGTCCCGTCCACAGGGCTCTTGAAAGTGGTAAAAACGCGCCCTCTTTTGTTGGCGCACGGAGCCCATAGGGAAAAGAGGATAGACACTGACAAAGGAATGCCTTTGTCACAGCGGTTTGAGTTGAGACTGAATGGCTTGTGATGGGCTAGTGATTGACTTGTAAGGACTTCACCACACCTATGGTACTGTTACTGACCATACTGATGAGCACAAGGTTTGCCACGTTCTCCACATTCTGTAGCAAAGGTGTCAGCTCCTCTGCCAACAAATCCACAACAGAGACCTTGGCCGGCGGCTGCACACCGGCTTTGCTGGTGCTTGGCATGGAGGGGAGGAGGGAGGGGTGGATGGGGGTTTCCCGACCCATCTCATCTTCATCCATCACCTGCTGGATCTGCAAATGAGAGTAGAAAAAAATCATGGTGGCTGTAATTCCTGTACGTGAGTGGCAGCCGTTTCAAATGTTGCCTTGAATTCATCATTCATTCATGCATCATCCCATCCATTATAATTTCACTCCCTGACAGTTTTAGGGCTGTGCTGAATATACAGAATATCTGAATATTTGATCATCCACTCAATATCTGAGTAGTATTTTACCAAATAAAATATTTAAAAAATGTGAGCCGTCTGGAGAAGCTGAAGAAAAAGCTCTGTGATATAATTATATTTGTTATAAGTTGAGTGGTTTATTGTTTGTCAAATGCCACTATGTATTGTGGACAGCCACTTTACATGCATGACTTGATAGCTTCCTGTGAGGAAGATTAGCCCAAATTTGCATCTTTAAAATCTGTCAAATATCAGCTAGTATCAGCTCACTTGAAAAAAAATATACCGACACATACATGATATTCATAAAAGGTTTTTACCTCAATGATTAAATATTTGATCAAATCCAAGTGCCAATAATCAAACACTATATTATTCGAAAAATGCCCAGCACTACAGTTTGGTCAGTGAAATCGAGTAACTTCATTTGTTTTGTTGGATATAGCAGGTTGGTTGTGACATATAGGTTGGGGTTTGAAAAAGCAATAATAAGAATGATGACTACTTATGTTATCCTTATATTACGATCGCAGCTCTTTACATTATTATTACCCCTGCTCTTTGGGCACTTAAACATTCCTTAGACCATCACGACTCCCTACAGAGTGGACAGCTGAATGCTGCCATTTTGGCACAAACGGCTAATCTCTGAGCCATGTCTGACCTCACTGGTACCCCATGTACACCTAGGTGAAGACAAGCAATTAGAGGTAAAGTGTCTTGCCAAGGGACACACAAACCACAAAGTCACAGATTGGACTTCAACCCACAATCTCCAAATGACCCAAAAAGATCTTGTTGGAAATGTGCTCAATCACAATGTTACAGCATTCCATTGCAACAAAAAGATAGTAGTTGAACACATTTGCACACAGTATAGTATAGCATAGTGTAGTACATACTGTTTTCACTGTTGTCGTCTTTGGCTTCTTGCTGCTAGATGACCCTTCATCATCTGCTGGTCTGGGACGCTTGAAGCTCTCACGTACTTTGGGCGTGTTCTTTGCAATCTGAAATCCACCGTTAAATTGACATTATGACAATGATCTTTTTCTATCAATCCTTACTCCCTTTGCATTTTTGCTAGGAAACTTCCAAAATCCTAAAACTTCACTATATGGAGGAAACTGACGGTATACTCTAATAATACTTGAACTTCCAGTGGGCAACAGATTCAAGGTAAAGTTGTACTGTGGGGTGTACCTTCCTCAATCCTACAAGATCCCCCAGAACCTGGAGGATTTTTAATAATCTGAAATGGTGTCAATGTAACATACATGTATTGTTTCCATGAGAGTGATATGTTCTGAGAACAAGTAACCCATCAATGGTAAAAACAAGTACCAAGTAGTACAGCCCTCGGAGGCCGGGTAACGTGTGAAGACGGCTTACAACACCGTCCGTGCACCTGGGCCGTACCGGTACCTCAAGAGTACAGAATACGAAAACGAATGGGGGGTGATCAAAAATATGCAAATTAGACGCATGCACATCAGTATTTGCAAAACTGGTCTTCGAATGCAAAGCTGTAATACTCGAGTTGCATGAATACAATATACGGCCAAGTAAAGTGTCCACCGACCAACCCACCCACCAACATACGCGGCTGAAGCCAACGACATGTTTCACATCCATTGTGGGATAAAGAGAGTTACGAAGACTGTTGAATGCCACCGACACATACGCCTGACACTCAAAGGGAAGATTTTTACAAGTTTGAATACATGCAGATGAATATAGTCACGTACGTACATGTGGGTCAATCTATACATTTCGGTCGCAAAGTGTGACATTTTCTTATCCAGGAAACCAATTTCATACTCTAAGTACTTTGGGCAACAAGCTCCATCAGACCTGCACTTTCCTTCATTCTGCAAAGTGGACTCCATGTACAAGTACCCCCTCAATGGATACAAAGGGAGGGTTTGGAGAGACCATTGCAAGGGACATTTGAATGCATTGCTGACAACGCCTGATGCTCACATGCAGACGCAGTGGGTTTGTGCAGATTCAGAATAAAATAAGCCGTGCGTACTTAGCGCCATGACTGGGCTCTCAAAATGGTCAAAAAGTGTCCTCTTCTGTTCGTGCACCAAGGCTACAATCCAAAATTTCCTTTCAGATATCAATATGATATTGGATGGCTTCGAGGAGGATACAAGAATATATTGCACAAGCTACGACAATATCGCATGAGTCGAAGACTAGTGCAATATTGTCATAGCTAGTGCAGTATATTCTTGTATCCCCCCCAAAAAGCCATCCAATATTTTATTATTATTTATATCAGGCTGACTTGATTCATCTTTATTTATCCTCTTTCGTCAAACTATTTGAAGCTGCCATTTAATTGTTGACAACAGTGCGCGTATACCTGGCCTGCTGCGCGCTATTGCATGCTCGCTGTGTAGGCGTCTGTGTTCGACGGTACTGCGCGCTATGCTCTGTAGAGTGCTAGACAACTGTGAGTCTCTACGCTCTTAAGGTGCAGGAACCAGCAAAAATGCCTGGATGAGGGCGCGCCCAACAATATCAAAATTATTGCTGTCATCCGGTACGTTTCACAAAAGCATACAATATGCTGATTTATTCTTACCGCTGGAAGCCTGATATAAATAATAATGAAGGATATGGAAGGGTTAGCATTGTTGGAACATTAGGGTTCCACATAGGAACATAGGATGGAACTTTAGGAAAATGAAGTTTAATTAAGTTTTAAGTCTAAAATGTCAATGTCCTACATGTCCAATAAATGTCTAAAATTTCTCTGTCCTACATGATCACAGAAAAACCCACCTCCGCTTCTGATGCTCCCAAGTCTGTCAGCAATGTGGTGATGTTGGAATGAAGACTGACTGACGACGGATGTTTCAACAAGTTCAGTAGCTGCATCTATTATAAAACAAACACACAAGAGTTCATCTCGCTATCCGGGGAACGTGATCACTATACACTCACGGGCCACCTTCAATGGAGAAAGTATTGTGCTGGATACTGTACCAAGCAACTGCCCTGTGACGGATTATCTGAATACATGTACATTTAGCCCACACAATGCTTTGGCAATTGAAGGGGGCTCTGTGATTGCATGCCCAGTCTGGTCAACAGATTTCGAATTGAGGCCTGGCTAGGAACACATTTCCAAAATCGCTGCATGATTTTGATTAAAAATGTTGAATTGGTCAAATAATTTTGTTTATTGCCAAGTTTGCCTATTGCCAAGTATAAACACATGTATTTAACCAGTTTGTGCCGGATGCAGTGAATACTCGCAAGGGTTTTGCGGTATTTGCAACGGATGACAGATAAACACAGAGAGGTTGGAAAATATCTGTCAGCGACCCGCTCGCAGTGAGCGAGGCCGGAAGTAGAGTGTGCTGCCCGAGCGTGATGGCTTCAACCTGCCTGGCTTGCGGTTGAGTGAAAAGTAATCCTGCGCCTCGTTCTGTTGTCAAAATAATCCTAGCGTGAACTGGTTAAGTGATGAAAATACACATCCTAGATTCAGAAATACTAACCACTAAAATAAACATGAAAAAAATCAAAGGGAAGATGAAGCTTGGCCGACAGACGGACAGAATGTCTGACAGGCAAACCAGAGATGAGATATTACCTTCAGGTGTTTGCGGACACTGCTCACTTGTGACTTAGCCAGTGTTGGTGGTAGGTTGACTGAAAAGGGAGAAACAAAATCTTGTAGTTAGACGCAACTAATTTCCACTTCCAAGTCAGCGACAGGTGTTCCATTCACTGGTTACCTTTCAATTTATGGCTGGTAACCATATCATCACACACACTCCGACAAAGCCAGTTTGAACATGGCCTTCAAAACAAATGGCAGAGTATATCTGGATAATTGTTAGTAATATGCTTTCATCTAATACGACCTGAAACAAACAATTTCTAATTGTCCGCTTACCGTGGAGAGTTTCGAAAGCTTGGATGACCCTGGGCATGAACTGTGGGCGCTGCTTGGCAATGGTGGTAAGGGAGCCCATACATGCCATCAGGTTCACACTGTAAACAATCATTAAAAAAGAATAGTCATCCTGAACTTCTGAGGTAGCTTGTACAAGCCACAAAGTTTTAATTGTGGTTTTCTTGATCAAGATTTGTGATGCTATCAAGTTAAATGAGTCATTTGTCGGCAATTATGATTTTAAGATACAGCCCAAAATAGGTCAGTAGGGGTGGAAATTACAAAATGAAACTTTTTTTTTGTACAATTGGAACGCTACATACTGGTATGTCTTCTTTAATGCATATTTTCCAAGAAAAACTCATGATAAAGTAGTTAAAATGTGACATTTTTGATAAGGAGTTAATATTCAATAACCTGAAATAAAGCATGTTTACTGTTGCTTAATAAACACTTCAATTTTGAATCGTTGATTTCTCAGTTTGATTTCTCTGTTTTCTTCTTTCTGATCTGCCTGTGTTCTAAGTCCCATAACTTCTGAACGGAAGGTCGCATTCACATGGGGTTTTCACCATATACTGAAAGATATCTCTATTCAAAAATCTCAAAAAAAACCCCCAAAAACAAACACATTTAAATTGATCGCATCACATTTTTCTTATAAATGCGTATCTTTTGCTTGGGGTTTGTAGTTGAAATTGAATCTTTGATGAAATCAAGAGGGTGTCCCCACTCTCTTTAAGAATCCATTCATGAAAACTGAAGATTTCTTTTTACCTAGTAATGCTAGGAGAGGCAAGCAGATCTAGCAACAGCTCAAAGCCATGCAGACCATCTTTCTCCAGTTCATCACGTTTCAAAAGCCCATGCTCCTCTGGAATCTGTTGATTGCAAAAGATAATCATCATTCTAAAAATAAGGAACTGAAATATAAAATTGTCCTTTCTTCCTTCCAACTGCACCAAGTTGTAGAAGTTGAAATGTACTTAATTGTTACACTTGCGACATACAGGAAATGTAGCAAGTGTGCATGTACTTGTCAAGACTTTTGTGTCTGGGGTAAAATAAATCGACTGCATGTATGCCAGACTTAAGACCACAGCAGATATACGACACTTGATGAGCGGTTCAGGTACAAGTTTTCGCTAGAATGCGTATGCGTAGGACCCGCGTTTTGTCATGGATACGCCCATGAACGTCACAAACATATGCGTTGGCAACACACACCAAATGAGTGATTTTGGCATTTTTTTGCAATGGAAAAATGTTAAAGATTGATGAAGAAGTTTTATCAGGGATCACATAAAGCACTGTCAGAATCGATCACTTGAGACGATAAATATATGTAAATGTTTTTAACAAAGGTTTGCCTACACAAATTCCATGAAATGCCTGCTTAAACACGTACATGATCAGGAACCCAAGTTTTCAAGTGCGCATTGCTGCATGCGTTTAGCAAATCATGTAACCCAAAACCAACCTGTCTGATATTCCTACGATCCCAAAACCATCCCTGCACAGCATGGTTTTATGGATTCTCCAGAGAATAAATACAAAATACACATGTAATGCATGTACCAATTTGCTCTTTTCATGCTTCCGCCATAGGCATGCAGAGCCTCGATCTGGCAACTTTATACAATAGATATAGCCGGTTCAGTGATTTCGTGTCCGGGTTCAGATCACTGAACCGGCTATTTTTATTGTGTAAAGTTGCCAGATTGAGGCTGTGCATGCCTATGGCGAAGCGTGAAAAGAGCGAATGGGTTAATGCAAGTGCCAATGGACAATAGTATAAATAATAAACATGTACAGTACCTGATCCAGGGACATATCTGCTTCTGGTTTCTTGGGGATCTCGGATCCTTGGATTCTGGCAGACTCCACCAGGATGAGGGATTCCATGTACTTGGTGGAGTGAGTACGGATGCTGCAAACAACACATATCAGTACTCACAATAAAATGAATGAATCAAATCCTGCCTCATTCACCTAAGCTGAAGGGTGCGAATTGGTTGCCATCAAAATAAAACCCCGGGGTCCCTTAATTTTCTTCTTTTTGTTGTTGTGGTGGGGGGGGGGGGATTCAACCAAACTTAAAAACACTGTTTGCATAATCATACTTCTCGACGCAAATATCAAACCAGGTTGGCCAAAGAGGTCAAATTTCAAACTAGGGTGTCCTTATAATACTCAGAGAAAGACCAGGGCCCAAATTCATGGCTCTGCTTAACTAAGTGAAGAACCTTTTCTACCTGTATTGGATCCGTGTGCAAACATGAGAGGGCGTTTTTTTTTATCACTTCCAAGAGCCAAGTGGATGGGACACACCATGCGCGTATACTGGTCCATGCCGAATAGAGCCAAGTACGCACGACTTATTTTATGCTGAATGTGCACAAAGCCATAGCGTCTTCACGTATGTGTCAGGCATTGATGGCAATGCGCTCAAAAGTATCTCCCAGTGGTCTCCCCCAATTAACTCTCCCTTTGTTGCCGTTGAGGGAATAACGGTGAAAGTATGCACTGAGCCCATATAGCAAGATTTTCTCATTTCACTGGTCATGCTGGTATATTAAGAACTGTGCACATGCGTACACCCCGTAGCTAAAGATTGTGTCTTTACAGGGATAGCACAAACTGGTGACCACTGTAAGTGCAGAACTGCTGTAAGCGCTAGCACAGGCTGGAAATGAGGCCCAGGTTCTAGACTGGCAAAACATTAACCCTCCTACTATTTAATAGGTCACCAATGGTCAAATTTTCTTCCTCACCTCCTGGCACACTGTGTACAAACCAATGGGGGTCTTGACCAATATTGACCTTAGTAATAACAAGGCTGACAATGCACGTTTCCATAGGAGGGTTTTAAGCAATGCTTTTACAGAATGCCCTTAAGATAAACTGTTTACGTTCGACATCCTATATAATTTTGAGATCAATAAAACTTGCCCATCATTTTCTCTTTCCATCTTAAGCACCTTGTTTTTCTAACCTGGGTCCAATTCGATGCAGAAACTGATGCCAAGAAATTTCAGACACTAAGCAAAAATCAGCTGATTGCTGGTCACAAGCAATATACACATACATTGCTTGACACTTTTGCTGCTTACGTGTACTTGTTTTTCGCTGAGCAAATATCGTTTGGCAATAAAGGCTCCATTCGAATCTAGACGTAGACTCACCCGTCATTTTCCGAGTCCAGCATGATAAACACCTTGCGTTTGATTTCTTGTATCTGGTCCCAGACTGCTTCCATCTCTTCACCAAACGTCCTGGCGTTGACCAACCACTTAAAGAAACAAAAACAGTTAAAGCGCCATTAATTTGAATTCATCCCCCATCTTCTTCAGTGTACCAACAAACCATTTAAGCATTGGGAGTGAAACTACTCAGAAAAAAATGCGGTAATCCTTACTTTTAGGACCCCTTTCCTTTATAAGGTTAAAAGACTCACCAAAACAGCTGACTAAATGACACTCAAAAGTGACATTCTGATATTTCATGACACACTCGAACATTTGGCAATGACACCTCTTGAATATCAGCAGGTTTGATTTTGTAGAAAGAGGGCAGGGTTTTAATTTATGAGGGGTTAAAGACGACGATGACAAACAGAAAATAAATTTAAAAAGCAAGATGGCGAACTGCAAAAAAAGGTAGGAAAGTCACATTTTCTTTGAAAGTGCTTTCAAAATTATAACTAACGTGAGTTTGTCTGAAGAAAAAAGACTTCTTTAGCCTGCAAAAGTCACTTTGGTATTGGACAGTCATCTGCAAAAGTCAGTTTTGAACAGAACTCGCACAAAATAGAGGTGTCCTAAAAGTAAGGATTACCAAAAATGCAGAGCAGCAGAAAATTCAGCTTACAAAAAGTAGTTGTGGAATTTCTTATTAGTTGATTTAAAAAAAAATTTGTTTAACAAGTCTGCGAAATTAAGCCCTCCCTTGGCAAGTAATGTCATATTTCTCATCGTATTTGGCAATTCTACAGGGTGAGTAAAAAAAAACGAAACCCAAATGTCGGGACCATTGTTTTAGTGAAGTACTGCTTGTAAGCACATCAAAATCTAAGATATGAAAGCCCAATTCATTAGCTTTCTTTTAGTGCAGGAATCATTCAGATCACTGATGTACTTTTTAAGTTACGGAATTTTAAACACAACCACCGTTTTAAAGTACTTTCTACGGATCACAAAAAAGGTGTGCGTTCTTTCAGCAAAAACAAAAACAATTCACACACATCCCTATGGGATTTGTTTTCGTTTTGCTGAAAGAACACTTAATTTCTTGTGATCCGTGGACAGAGCTATAGAATGGTGGTTGTGTTTAAAATTCCGTAACTTGAAAAGTACATGAGTGATTTGAATGATTCTTGTACTAAAAGAAAGCTTATGAATTGGGCTTTCATATCCTAGATTTTGACAGTGCTACATGCAGAACTTCACTATAACAATGGTCCCGACATTTCGGTTTCGTTTTTTTTTTACTCACCCTGTAGTTTATGATTGTGGAAATTTTTAATTATACTGTAAAAAGTAAACATTCATATACTTCCAACGATGACGAACAAATTTAGAGTACATTGTATCTGTCTACTTGACATACCTTGAGAGCAACTCTGTACAGCTGCATGCTGCACAGGATGACCTTCTTAATGACCGCCACATGCTGTGCTGCATCACTTAGCATCAGGTTCAGATGCGGAATCACGCTGCATAACATATCATTGTCCTTCTTGCTGTTAAAAGACAAAACGTTACAAGTTATACTTTTATTTCTTCTCTTTGGTCATTTCATATGCCATGCATGTACTTGTTCCAAAGTTTTACCCTAAAGGGGGGGGGGGGTGCCCCCTTCAACTTTTTCCAAGATAGCCTTGAAAAAAATTGTTTTTCGCGACCCGAGCCGTTCTGACTTTTTAACCTGGAGCCTTGCTCATCTTTTGATACCAAAAACATAGGCCTAATATTCGGACCACGAGTTGCCGCGCAGCAAAAAAATTTCAGGCGCCGTGAAAACTGAATTTCCCCATATATACGTTGTGTACACAGAGCAGAATTACCATTCGTGCATATGAATAATTAATTAGCCTTAATTCCAAAACCCTTTGACCTATAGTCATGACATTTCTTGGGTATGTTCAGGTATAATTTTTCTATGCTTGTACCTAGTTTCATAATTTTTCGTCACTCAATGGCCGAGATCTGAGAGGGGGGGGGGGCCTAGATTCCAACCCCTTTTGGACACTAAAAAAGTTTGTAATTTCATAAAATCTTACCATGCCTCTTCAATAAAGCCAACCACAAACTTTCTGACATCTGCCGATTTGTCGTGCTGAAACTGAAGAACTTCCTGTGAATTTGACAATGACAAACACCAATTGTTATGCTATGATGGGGAAGAAATAAGCACCAACTTTAATTCTGGTTATATCTTGAGACATTGGAAACTCCTAGTCTACTGATGAACCCTCAAGGAAAAAAACCTTTAGACCACAAGGTTCAAAGGTATAGTCCATCATTTGTAATTTGTGCATTTTGTTCGTTTGAAGCTCAACGAAAGTGCTCAAAATCTAAAGAAGGGTGCTGAACAACTAACCTGAGTTTCAGCTCAGCTTCAGCTGTATATTTCGAGAAAAACAACATTCTAGGATCTTGATTTCAAATCAAAAGTTGCTGAATCATGTTTTGAATTGGGCCTGAATTCAGCGTCCAAGACACGTTCTCACTGAGCCGATTGCAGCTACGCGATGTCGCGCACCGATCCGACGAATTATAGCAAGTGCGCGTGCGGGTGCGTCGTGTCAACGCTTGCGCGCGCTTCGCCGAATAAAAAAACGAACTACTAACGGAAATTTTCAACAGTGCTTCTTAAGACGCACCGTTGGAAAGGCCTTCTTTCGTTGATTTCTTCAAAATGACAGCTTGCCAGAAAGAATAATTTCACAGGGAGTTTAGTCCCCTTACTATCTTTCAACCAAGTATGTTTTTCAACAATAATTACGCCAGTTACTTTTGGGATAGCTGCAAATGATGGACTCTGGCCTTAACCATCAAATGCATGTACATGTACATTGTAGCTGTCTCGAAATGCTTGCTACATGTAGTCTCTGATGCCAGATACAACAGGCAGCAGTGGTGTTACACTACAAAGAAATCTTTCAGGTGGGGGTGGTGCGAACCCCCCCCCCCCCTGAATTTGATTCATTATCCTCCCTTCCCATATGATTCTTGTGTTCCCCTGTTAACTTTACAATTTGGAATACATGTACATATGTAGGTCCATTTTATACCAGAAGTCCATGTACTGCCAATAACCACCCTGCGTGTAACTCCCTTTAACACTCAAAACCACTGACTACTCAATGGTTTAATGAATTCATCAGGGAATATTACAACATCTTAACCCTACATGTAACTCCCTAGGCCTTTTTGCTAGGATGTAGCCTCAGTCCTGCAAAATCCTCCAATTGGCCTCATGGAAAAATAGCATATAGCCTCAATCCTGCAAATTCCTCCGTTATTTCTTGAATATGGTCCATGGAGGGGTGACCACTGCCTGAATCCTGCAAAATCCTCCGGCTATGTCTGTCAATAGGCTGAGGCTGAGGCAGTGACATCCTGGAGCAGTGCGGAGGATGTCAAGTATAATCAAGGACTAAATTTATGCACGGCTGAGCATAAACAACACAAGGTCCTGCCTAAGACCTTGACACAGTGCGTACTCCGAAATCAGCAACGCACTTTTGCCATGTAACCTCAATCCTGCAGATTCCTCCAATTTGCAAAAAGGATTTTGGAGGATTCAGGGCGGTTAGGGATAATGGGTTAAAATACTAACTGGGTATTAACATGCTCAACTTACATCAAGGAAATTGTCCAGTAGCGTTGGATCCTTGTGCACAATCAGCTCCTGCACGTGCTTGAGGTTGGCGATTTTCTGGGAATCCTTGGTCAGCAGATGTGTCTGGTTGATTAAGTCGATCACCTGATGAACGATTAAATGCCGGTAAATGCACAGATAAGTTTCAAAACCAAATAGAAGCCAACACCTGAAATTATGTTGAATAAAAAAATTTAACAGCTTTTTCTTTCGCAGAGCAATATTTTCGTGTTCCAAATTATTATGTGTTGTGAATTTGAATAAATAGACCGAAATACGGTGGTTAAGAAACATTCTGTGAACAATTTGAAACAGGCAGTTGATATTTGGCCAGCACTGATTTTCTTTTTTAATAAACATGGTAACTGATATTTTCCAAAGGCTTTCTCAGTAAATGATTCAATATTTTCCCAGCTAAATTTGACTATACTTTAGGACATTGTTACATGACGCACTGAATCGCAAAACACAAACCGCGCAGGAAAATCGTGATTTCTACCACAAGAAACTGTTCAAAATTGGAAAACGGGCATCACTAGAATTGAGAAAAGTCTGCTTTTGATTGAAAAGGTGATTTTTGAGCAATAAAAAACATTTATTGACTCTAATTTGATAAAAAAAAACCCAGGAGCCCTACACTTAACGTTCGCCCTTTTATCATGCACCTGTGATGTAATTTCGCTCCAAAATCAAAACCCTACCCTCTCTTCACCAAATTAATCCATCCACATGACATCTTACTTCTTAGGTGAGTCCACTGTCCAGTAACTCTTATAGGAACAGGGTCCTAAACTACACAGTTGCCGTTTTCTACATATACATGTAGGCCTAGGCTAGCCCGACTGCGTCTGGCTGTACAGTACTATCGCAAGCTCTGTAGTACGGCCAGACGCCCGATGCTTCCACAGAGACTGAATTTTGTTGGCCGCCGATGTAGCGATTTTGCTACATCTTTCGATCGCGATTATCTTTTCATCCAGGACACAAATTTCCAAAGTTAAGGTTCGTAGTCATAGAGCAACTCATACCTTTTCGAAAAAACGTTCTTTGGTCTCAATATTTTCATCCATCTGGCCACAAGACGAATTTCAGTCATCAGATTCCACAAATATCGTCCCCCATGCGATCCCCCATGCGATTTCAAAATGGCGGCCGCGCTGTAATGATGCAATATGCAGGCGCGCCCGCGCAAACTTATGAATATGCATAAACAATCTGTGACGTATAACCGTACGGCCCGCCGCACGTACGCACGTCCAAAAACACGAGGTCATACGTCACAGACTGTTTATGCATATTCAAGAGTTTGCGCGGGCGCGCCTGCATATTGCATACATTACAGCGCGGCCGCCATTTTGAAATCGCATGGGGGATCGCATGGGGGACGATATTTGTGGAATCTGATGACTGAAATTCGTCTTGTGGCCAGATGGATGAAAATATTGAGACCAAAGAACGTTTTTTCGAAAAGGTATGAGTGGCTCTACGACTACGAACCTTAACTTTGGAAATTTGTGTCCTGGATGAAAAGATAATCGCGATCGAAAGATGTAGCAAAATCGCTACATCGGCGGCCAACAAAATTCAGTCTCTGTGGAAGCATCGGGCGTCTGGCCGTACTACAGAGCTTGCGATAGCTGTACGGCCAGACGCAGTCGGGCTAGGCCTAGGCCTACGCCCTTTGACTGAGATTCATTTGGGTGCTTACATGTACGTGTTTGGGCATAAGACCGCACGCACATTCACCCTTCTGCCAGCATGGCCAGGCACACGACAAATGCAGTGATAGTGCTGGTGACTATTTAGGTAAATCCCGAAACATAAAAGTGTTTTTTAATTCTCTTATTAAACGGGGCCCTATCCTAAACTATTAAACGTTAATCATGTACCCGTTGCTGACACTGACAACTGACACTGAGTTGATAGGGGGGTCAGACAAGTCGACCGTTGAGACAACTCGACTCGGGACAAGTCGCCCGTTGAGACAACTCGACCGTTGAGACAACTCGACCGTATGTGCGATAAATTGAAAGACAAGTCGACCGTTGAGACAAGTCGCCTCGCATGTTTTTGGGCCTAGTTCTGGGGATAGTACCGGGGATTTCGACGGCGGCTGATCGCCGTTTAGACACGACTTTTTTTGTTGCATATAACAGAGCAGAGCCGATATAGCGCAGCGTGATTGTCCGTGCACGTCGTTCGTTTTTGCCGGGCCTTTGCGCGCATCTCCGGTCAACCGCGTGGCCGTACCGTGCACGTGCCGTGCACGTTAGCTGTCTCAACGGTCGAGTTGTCCCGAGTCGAGTTGTCTCAAAGGTCGACTTGTCTCAACGGTCGAGTTGTCTCAACGGTCGACTTGTCCCGAGTCGAGTTGTCTCAACGGTCGACTTGTCTGACATTCGTTGATAGCCAGGTGCCAGGTCATGCAGGGGTTAGCATCTTACCCGATCTGACGTGTTGATTCCTTCTGCCATATCGGCCGTTGTGGAATCCTCATCCATAAAGTACTGCGAGGCAATGGACCGTCGACTACTCTCCGAATCCATGGTGAATTATCTAGAGATTCCACTTCAAAAATTCAGGAGCTTTGCGTGCAGTTGTTGCACCGTCCCAGCTTGGTCCCGTCGCGCTGCATTCCTGGTTGCCCCTTGTAGTCCATGCAGGATCAAGCACCCAGCTAGAAATTATGCCCAAATAAGAACGGAGCCGGTGTTTCAATTTACGGTGGCCCAGAACGTACACGCGGCCAAGAGTGATTAAAAAAAAAAATCATATCACATCATGTTCGTCAGCATCTTTCTCGTCAGCATCTTTCGAATCCAGCCCCTCAACCCCCCCCCCCCCCCCCCCCCAAAAAAAAATCCTGTCAAAGGTGTTTCAGTCTCAGCAAGCATCAACCTTATCAACTTTCAAGTTAACTATCACCACCTTTGGAAAGCAAATGCATGTTTTCAAAAAAGTTGTCACAGAACATAAACAACGAACAAACGGCACGTTATTAGGGCCGAAATACTGGCAATCATTGGAGAGCGCGCGAAATAGTTAGCATAGTCTGGTTCCCAGACCAAAAGATTCCGACTATTCCTGATGAATCTTAGGTCCGGTAGCTATGGCGTGTCAAACGTTGCAATATTCAATATTTTGCAATATATATGTTGGATGTTCAATATGTGTTTGTTATCTTTTACATTTATTTGCGATGTTCAATATAAGTGTGCGATTTTTTTTAATCATTTGCGCGATGTTTAATATATTTGTGCGATGTTTTACAATATATGTGCGATGTTCAATATATGTGTGCGATGTTTTACATTTAACTATGCGATTTTCAATTTATATGTGCGATGTTTTTGACGATATATATGTGCGATGTTTTCAATATTATGTTCGATTTTTTGCATTAAATGTGCGATGTTTTTCGATACAATTGTGTGTGTTGTTCTACAATATATTTGCGATATTCTCAAATATGTGAGCAATGTTTCACACATATGTTTGACATTTCGAGCTATTTGTATTCGATGTTTCATCGGTATGTTTGCATTCGATCTTTTGCAATATGCATTTGATATTTCCCTTTTCATTCGATGTTTCTTTAAGAGTCAAAGTCTGGTTACTAGACCGCAAAAGTCTGACTATTTTGCCTAAAGTCAGTGTATGAGACGTCAGGGGATCGCGTAAAGTGATTAGAGCCAGACCTAAACGGTAAAAACCGGAATTGTGGGTAATTCTTTAAGCATACGCAATGTGTTCATCATTGTTTGGGCAGTACCCCCAGCTGTGCCTGTACTACCCATAGTGTTATGTGCATCATCTATGCATTGAGGAGTGCATGACACATGCTCTGAGCTCCAAGGCCGATGTGCACCTGTCCCGTTTAATGATCCAGTTACCTGATAATTTGTTAGCATAAGCTGATGTAAAATTGGGCAAAATTAGATGTTTCTGGAAAATTGCAGATTGTATGGGGTTAGATGTTTATGAAACATTTCAAATTGTAAGGGGTGAACATTGCATATTTTAGCGAAATTGGGCAAAATCAGATGTTTCCGAAAAATTTCAGATGTAAGGGATTAAGGCCAAACAAAAAAGTCTCCGGTTTCTGGTATGCGCGCGCGTCGCCGTAGCCATGCGCGTCTGCAAAATGAAAAAGTTTTTATTTTCAATGAACAATGATGTCTCAAAACCGCCAAACTCACTGGTTTGACTGGAATCCTGCTGCTGCAAAATTTTAACGTGTTTTTAGATGGCGTTATGATCGAGAATAAGCTTTATGTGGCCCCTCTGGTCTCTCATAATATTTGCACTAAGTTTAGTCGGGCACCATTTGCAGTCATCAGCCGACATTTGAAGCAAAAAAAAACAGGTAAAAAAAACCAAACAAACAAGCCGCGTCGCCGCACCACTTTTTGGGCAAGCTCCATACCAGAAACCGGAGACTTTTTTTTTTGGCCTAACCTAGCTTTTTTAGTGAAATTTTGCAAAGTTAGATGTTACGAAAAATTTCAAATTGAAAGGGGTTAACCTCGCATTTTTTTTAAAGCGAAAATCGGAAAAAATCAAATGTTTCTGGAAAATTGCAGATTGTAAGGGGTTAACCTTGCTTTTTGAATAAGATTGGGGAAAATTAGATTTTCATGAAAAAAATCCAAATTGTAAGGGGTTAACCTAGCATTTTTTTTTGCAAAATAGGACACAATCAGATGATTCTGGAAAATTGCAGATTGTAAGGGCTTAACCTTGTATTTCTAGCAAAATTGGGCAAAAGGAAATGTTTATGAAAAATTTTAAATTGTATACCTTGTATATTTAGTAAAATTTGGCAAAATCAGATTTGTATGAAAAATCTAAGATGGTAAGGGGTTAACCTAGATTTTTTAGCAAAATTTGGAGCATATTTTACTAAAATTGGGCAAAATCAGATGCTTCTAAAAAATCCAGATGTAAAGTTTCCGCAAAAACAGCTGTTGAAAAAGAGCCCAATGTTGAACTTTACTGAGTCTGAGGTCTATCGAGGGGACGATCCTTATTTCAACTCCCGGAGATTCGCTGACAGTCTCTATTTTTCTTTTTAAGAAAGTCGAAATAGCTGAAGAGGGAGGTGAGAATCTATATGTGCCCAGATACAAAGAGTAGAAATCTACGCGTCTGCCTTTTGAAAATACACAATTGCGGTGTTCATTGTTGCGTAATGATCCGCCTAGCACACGACTGGTTTGCACATTAGGCTGTGTTATGCAGCTTCCTAACAAACCAAACACACTGGGCTCATTATATCGACTTGTTTTTACCCATTAAGGTAAAGCAAATGGATCCAGTAATCTTCCTGGCGCTTTTGCTCACCTATAAAGACAACTTTTCTCAGTTTAAGGAAAATTCTAAGCTAACGAAATGGCCGAGTGGTTACGATTCGTCGTCCACGGTTAGCGGGGTCCCGGGTTCGAATCCCGCTGGTGTCTTTTTGGTTTTTAACGTATGAGTTCAATTATTCACTATAAGAGATTTAATTTCCCGTCGTAAAGTACCAACAGTACCTTAGCTTAATCGGTAAGCACTGCTGCTGGTACTGTCCGCGAGTTCCAGGTTGGCGCCTTCGTACAGGTTCAGGGCATGTGGTCCACTCGGAGGATCAGGGCTTAGGGGCCGCCCTGTTCCTCCCTTAGCTCTTTGCTTTTACATGGTGCCTGGCCCTCCGGGTTATATGGATGGATAGGGAAGGAAGTGTGTATTGGTCGGGGACGCCGAGACCCCGGAAGAGAACTAAGGGATCGGCTGGGGCATTGTTATGGCTCAGACCGATCCCTGAAAGCTTGACTAGCACATAACTTTTTGATTTCTTTTACCCTCTATCTTTTATACTTTGGTTTAGTTTGATATCTACAGCTGCTCGGCAGGTCTACGGGTAGTATCAAAATTGAAACAAAGGTGTAGGTCATAAATCAATGAATATTTCATAATTGACTATAATCAAAACGGAGTTTCGTTCGATCAATTTGACTATCATTATATAATGACGCGATTGCCAATTGACGTAAGAAACGCCATAAATTATACCGGGAAAGAATAAAGATGTACATTGTAATATAAATATTATTTATACATCTTTCAAATAACGTGTCTTTAATTGTGAGCATTCCAAACAATACAGTATTTCGCAATGGTATTACAATGGTATATGATAGCACGATCAATGCGTCTCTATTAAATTTAAAAATATATAATTTAGGCCCCTATGTGTGAAACAATCTGTTTATGAAACATTTCAAATAGTAAGGGGTGAACCTTGCATTTTTTTAGCGAAATTTGGCAAAATCAGATCTTTCTGGAAAATTTCAGATTGTAATGGCTTAACCTTGCTTTTGTAGTAAAATTTGGCAAAATAAGATGTGTATGAAAAATTTCAAATTGTAAGGGGTTAACCTTTCTTTTTTAGTAAAATTGGGAAAATTTAAATATTTATGAAACATTTCAAATTGTCAGTGGTTAACGTTGCATTTTTTAGCAAAATAGGGCAAAATCAGGTGTTTATGGAAAATTTCAGATTGTAAAGGGTGAACTTTGCATTTTTAGCAAAATTGGGCAAAATCAGATTTGTATGAAAAATCAAAAATTGTAAGAGGTTAACCAAATTAGGGCAAAATCAGATGTTTCTGGAAAATTGCTGATTGAAAGGGGTTAACCTTGCATTTTAAGCAAAATTGGGCAAAATGAGATTTTTATGAAAAATCTCAAATTGTAAGGGGTGAACCTTGCATATATTAGAAAAAATGGGCAAAATCAGATGTTTTTGAAAAAAAATCCGATGTAAGGAATTAACCTGACTTTTTTCTTAAGTGAAATTTGGTAAATATTAGGTGTTTATGAAAAATTTCAAATTGTAACGTGTTAAGATTGAATTTTTTTTAAGCAAAATAGGGCAAAATCAGATGTTTATGGAAAATTTCAAATTGTAAGGGGTTAACCTTGCATTTTAGCAAAATTGGGCAAAATCAGATGTTTCTGGAAAATTTCAGATGTAAGGGATTATCCTTGCTTTTTTAGTGAAATATGGCAAAGTTAGATGTTTATGAAAAATCTCACATTGTAAGGGGTGAACCTTGTAATTTTAGCGAAATTGGGCAAAATCAGATCTTTCTGGAAAATATCAGATTGTAACGGATTAACCTTGCTTTTTTAGTGATGTTTGGCAAAATAAGATGTGAATGAAAAATTTCCAATGATAAGTGGTTAACCTTGCTTTTTTAGTAAAATTTGGCAAATTTAAATGTTTATGAACAATCTCAAATTGTAAGGGGTGAACCTTGCACTTTTTAGCAAAATAGGGCAAAATCAGGTGTTTATGAAAAATGTCAGATTGTAAGGGGTTCACCTTGCATTTTTAGCAAAATTGGGAAATATCAGATTTGTATGAAAAATGCAAAATTGTAAGAGGTTAACCTTTGCCCAATTAGGGCAAAATCAGATGTTTCTGGAAAGTTGCAGATTGAAAGGGGTTAACCTTGCATTTTTATCAAAACTGGGAAATTTCAGATTTTTATGAAAAATCTCAAATTGTAAGGGGTGAACCTTGCATTTTTAGCAAAATTGGGCAAAATCAGATCTTTCTGAAAAGTTT